GCACGAATTTGCACTGTAGTCCGTCGTATGAGTTCCGGATAATGTTGACAATCTTCTCAGGAACTCCGTAGTGTCGAAGAAGTTTCCATAACGTTCTCATATCCACACTATCAAATACCTTCGCATAATCAATGAAGTTGCTGTATAGTGACGACTTCCACTCAACTGACTGTTCGACGATGATCCGTAGTGTTGCAATTTGGTCTGTGCATGATCGATCCTTACGGAATCCAGCTTGTTGATCTCGAAGTTGGGTGTCTACTGCATCTTTCATCCGGTTCAGCAACACTCTGTTGAAGACCTTCCCTGGTATTGACGGCAGTGTAATGCCTCTATAGTTTTCACATTTGCTCAGATCTCCTTTCTTTGGAATCTTGACGAGGTGCCATTCTTTCCAGTCCATCGGCACTTGTTCTTCTTCCCAAATCTTTTTGAATAGAAGGTAAAGCATGTTTGTAGTTGCTTCGATGTCTGACTTCAGTGCTTCAGCTGGTATGTTGTCCGGTCCCGCTGCTTTCCCGTTCTTGATTTGTCTGACGGCCATTTTGATTTCTTCCTTCGTTGGTGGGTTGACGTCTATGGAAAGATCTGTGTGTCCCGCTTCGATGTCCGGTGGATTCATTGGAGCCGGCCTATTCATGAGTTCCTCGAAGTATTCTACCCATCTGTTCCGCTGTTGTTGAATTTCGGTGACTGGCTTGCCTTCTTTGTCTTTGACCGGTCTCTCTGGTTTACTGTATTTCCCTGTTAGTTTCTTCGTTGTATCGTGAAGCTGTTTCATATTTCCTTCTCTAGCTGCTTTTTCTGCCGTCGTTGCTAGTTCTTCCACGTATTTCTTCTTGTCGGCTCTAATGCTCCTCTTCACTTGTTTGTTTGCTTCTATGTATTCAGCTTGTGCTTGGACTTTTTCTGCTCGTGTTCGGCTGTTGTTTATTGCTGCCTTCTTGTTCTTCCTTTCTTTGATCTTGTCCAGTGTTTCTGTAGAGATCCATTCCTTATGATGGTATTTCTTTAGATCCAGAACCTCTTGACACGTTGAAGTTAATGCTTCCTTGATGCCTTTCCAGTTGTCCTCCATAGAAGTTTCTTCTTCTTTCAGTAGATCTTGTAAGGCTTGGAACCTGTTGTTGAGAGCTAGCTTGAATTCATTGAGTTTGTCAGTATCTCGAAGGAAGGCTGTATTGAACCTTTGTAGTGCTGTTTTTCCACTTGTCCAGTTCTTTTTTAGCTTCAGTTTTGAATTGGCCACAACTAGGTGGTGATCTGAAGCTACGTCAGCGCCTCTCCTGGTTCTCACATCTCCCATTGTCCTTCGGAATTTTTTTTGATGCTGATATGATCTATTTGGTTCTCTGTAGTGTGGTCCGGTGAGATCCATGTAGCCTTGTGTATACGCTTGTGTGGAAATATTGTGCCTCCTATGACCAATTTGTTGAATGCACACAGATTTGCAAATCTTTCTCCATTTTTGTTTCTTTCTCCCAGTCCATGTCGTCCCATAATATCTTCATATCCAGTGTTGTCTATTCCGACTTTGGTATTTAGATCTCCCATCAGAATGGTGAGGTCCTTTCTTGGGCACTTCTCTATGATTGACTGCAGCCGCTCGTAGAATTTATCTTTGATGTCGTCGTTTCTATCATTGGTGGGTGCATAACATTGGATAATATTCATTGTGATCCCCTCCTCCCATTCTTTGTTTTGAATGATGCTTTGATAATTCTGGATCCGTGAGATTCCCATCCTACAAGTGCATTTTGTGCTACTTTGGACAGCATTAGATCAACTCCCTGAGTGTGAGAAGCATTTTCCTCTTCGTGACCGGAGTATAGTAGCATTTCTCCCGTAGCTAGCGTTTGTTGTCCAGCTTGGGTCCAATGGGTTTCGCTGATTCCCAGTACTGCCAAGTTGTATCTCATCATTTCCGTTGATATTTGACTGGTCTTTCTGGTCTCACACATTGTTCAGACGTTCTATGTACCTATAAAAATGTTTGCTCTGGTTGTCAGAAGGGGCATCGGCCTCGTGGCTTGCGAAGGAACTCGGCTTTCACTATGAAGCGTCATAATTCTTCTAAATGAAGACGTTCTAACTCTCAGGGCAGAGTTTAAATGGTTTGGATTATTTTTTCTGGTAAGCGTTTTTTTAGCGAGTTAGTTTTCTACGGAATGGGGACGCTAACCCTATGCCCAACCCTCCTCCTTTACGCGGGCTTGGAACCGGCAGTAAATCTGGAAGAGCTACAGGCAGAGTTTTTATATGCTAAATACAAAAGTATTTCATAATCATCACAGTAGTTATCACATTTTTTTCTTAATGATTTTATTGATTATTATGAAACATATCTCTATTATGGTAACTAAATAAGTCGGCGAGACTATAATTTATGGACTACCTTTGAGCAACGCTAAATTGACCTTGAGAGTGTCCACCTAATAACTAAGATCAAATGAGGGTTATAAACCAGTGGGAAGAATTAGAATCATGATTTACAGTTGATGATTACGATTAGGAATTAGATTTAGAGTTTTCATCACGAACTTACATTAGTTATAAAGCTTGAAATAATATTTAACCAAATGAATGTATGAATGTTGCGCTAAAATCCGAGACCTGTCATCTTATATCTGATTGGTTCATCCATAAATGATAGTTTCGTCAATATAATATATCACTGTGGGAAATTATATCGAAGAAATATATAAATAAACAGATCAAAACATGAGAAAGTGATTTACATTAGTAATATTAAATATTCAACTATAATATAGATAAATATTAACATTGTTGGGAATGAGATATTTATTTGAATAATTAATCTCAATAATTAAGACATAATCAGTTTACATAAATGTTCCGAATAGCTGATTATTCAATAGATTAGTTCAGTATATTAACTTTAATTAACAAATTGATAGATTTATTTGTAAAGCTAAAATGTTTGAAGATGGAAGAAAACAAATAAACAAACAAATAAATAAACGAAAGGATTTTATTAGTTGTTATGTTATATTAGCTAATTCCCTCTATGGTCGGTTATCATTATTATACTGTTCATATAATTGTCTTAACATATATGCTGAATAAATTTTTTCCCAGTGTGTGATAGATAATTTGGTTTTAATATGTAAAAGATTTTAATTCATGTAGCTTTTTAAGCTCAACATTATGTGGCTTAAGACTTGATATAAATAGAACTGATCAATCCTTAATGAGGATTTAACTATTAGATGAATGAATTAACATTTTGAAGGTGTTTGATTCTTCAAACTTCTTGTCTTAAGTTAAAACTATTTTACATACTTTTCAAAGTTTCCATTCATACGAATATTTGTCAAGATTAGAACTAATAGTTTGACAGAAATCGGGTATCGAGTATAAAGAAGTCATCATATGTGAAAATTATCACAATTGATTGATCACTGGATGGTGATCACTGTCGTGCGTTTCTAGTCCTTATTAGTGCAGATCGAATGCTGTAGATCATGTTACAATGTGACCACCAGTCTAGGTGACTCGACATTGCGGGAACTATATATTGAGATTAGATGGTGGTTGGAGGTAGTCGATAGAAAACCTTGGACCCGGGTTTCGTGCTATTTGGCACTCGTCAGTAAAGTTTAGCTGTAATCTTGAGGGAACTGGTGCTCCCTGGCGGATTCGATCTCGCTTTATTATTATTATTATTATTATTAGCTTTATTCAATATTACATTTTTGGTACAATATAGAATTTTCAGCGTAAAGTATTTTAACAAGTTTCCGTTTCTTTCTTCTTGGTGGGTCCTGGCGATAAATATTGAGTGATCGCCAGTTAGATGTTAGCAGTTCAGTAGATGAACATCTGAATAATGTGCATTCTTTTCGTTGTATATTGCCAGCAACCACATTGTCTCTCATTGAGTTTTTTGTAACTTTGACAATGAAAGGTTGTGCACTTTTCAGAAACGCAGCAGAATAGGTTATGCGATTAATAGACATAACGATACATTAAAACAAACAAAAATAGATAACTTGTTGAAATATCTAGATGGCAGGAACAGGTAGCCCAAATGCTCAAGCAGGCCGCCCAGCTTCACAGTCATAGACATTATCACTGAGCTATCCGAGCCACGACTGACCTCCTGTAGGACTGAGATGTAATCGGAGTTGATTGATCACTGGGTGGCGACCAATGTCATGCGTGTCAAGTCCTTGTTAGTGCAGATCGAATGCTATCGACCATGTGAAGCTGGATGACATGAGATCAAATCCGCCAGGGAGCCGCAGTTCCCTCAAGATTACAGGTACACCTTGCTGACGAGTTCCAATTAGCACGAAACCCGGGTCCAGGGTTTCCTGTCGACTACCTTCAACCACCATCTATGTGAAAATTATATTTCGATTACTACTTTGAAGACGTCCAGACAAGTTAGCTGGACGAAACGTTGGAATTATTTGACTTTCAATCGCTGAGATTATTTCAAATATAATTTTCACATATAAAGTTTCCATTTGTTTACCGGTTTTTCTTTTGTATCTTATGAGAAATTATCAGTAAATTTAAGAGAATATATGAACTGAAGTCAGGGTCAAACTGTCGATCCAGGAATTACTCATCTATTACCTTTTTTATATTAAAAAGCTAGATATTGCTTTCACCTACATTTTTATTTATCTTTGGCCATAGAATAGTTTCTGAAGATTGACGGTAATTCATACTTTTTGTCTCAACTGTTCAATAATTGAAATAACTGATATAATGCATTAACTACCGATACCAGTTCATCTTTAGTCCAAACCCTATAACAGAGTGGGTTGGAGAATGCTGGTCAACGGCCTATACTCCATTGAGAGTAACAGGCGTAAGTAAGTTTGGTCAAAACGTTCTATTACGTAGATTGAGTACATTCGTTTTCAAGATTTTATCACATATCCGCATATATCCAATATGCGGTTTATTTAGCATATGCATTTACTTAAATTGTTATCTTTTTATTTAAATAAAATATAAAACTCTAGGTACTAAATTTCATGTAAATTATGTGTATTTACAATTTAAATCACCTCGTCCACATGCTATGGTTATACACAAACGATTTGATGATAATTCCGAATGGACACCATGGGCATATTTTTCGAGTAATTGTTATACATACTTTGGTATGGCCTATAGTCCTAGACCTATATTTAATAAACCGGATGAATTAATATGTTATGAAGAATATTCAACATTACAACCATTATATGAAGGGGAAGTAATTTTTTCTGTTATAAATGGACGTCCGAACTATGACAAATTCTTTAATGATGTAGATTTACAGGTAAGTTGAAAAACTGATGGTTTCATTTTGTATTTTTTTTAAAGTATCAAATAATGTTTATATTTTAAAAAGAGCAAGAACAAAGATTCGGATATTTCTTAACATTTGTTGGAACTAAAAATGTACACTAAGCTGATCATACTAATTTATTCGGAAGATATCAGTAAACAGCAGTGCTTTATGACTTAAACAGTGTCCACTGATCAGATCTTTAATTTCAGCAATGATCAAAGTAGATTCGATATTTTATTAGATAAGCATCATTCCTTCAGAATAACCCTTGATAATAAGGAATTTAGAAGCATGTTCAAATAGAAAAATTTTACTTGATCGAACCTAATCAATTATCATTTAGTACAGCATCCATCTAAATTTCCAGGGGTTGAACTTCTACCAGGAGGTTCACTTGTTGACTTAGAATATGCGATGACATAGTTTTATTTGGCGAAGACGCTGACAAAATGCAGAGTCTTCTGACCACTCTAAGTAACAATGCAAGCATGTTCGGGATGCGATTCTCTCCCTCGAAATGCAAAATGTTGCTTCAGGATTGGGTTGCATCGACATCCGAACTAGTGATAGGGAGTGAAGTAATTGAGCGTGTCGACCGCTTCACTTATCTTGGAAGTCTCATCAGCCCTTGTGGTCTGGTGTGTGACGAAATCTCAGCACGGATACAGAAGGCTCGACTAGCTTTTGCCAACTTGCGTCATTTATGGCGTAGGCGAGATATCCGTCTGTCAACCAAAGGATGGGTTTACTGTGCAGCAGTACGTCCCGTCCTACTTTATGGAAGTGAAACATGGCCGGTAAGAGTAGAGGATATTCGTAGGTTACTAGTATTCGATCATAGGTGTCTTCGAAATATTGCTCGTATATCATGGGACCATCGAGTAAGTAACACAGTTGTTAGGAAACGTGTACTAGGTAAGGATGGCAAATCAATTGATGACGTAGTGAAACTTCATCAGTTGAGATGGCTGGGACACGTGTTACGTATGCCCAACGACCGATTGCCTCGACGTGCGATGTTCAGTGGTATAGGAGTAGATTGGAAGAAAGCTAGGGGCGGCCACAACAAAACATGGCACAAATCCATGAAGTCACTGACAAGTGGACTGGGTCATGTTGGTAGGTGTAGACTACCTGGTTGGGGACCGCGAGATGATAGCAACCGATAGTGAGAGACCCTGAATGACATGGCTCAAAATCGTTTGCAATGACGCAGGTGCATCCACTCTTTGTGTTCTCCCAAATTCTAATCTTCTGAATTCTTCCTGTCCCCTTTTTCCTCTTTCCAAATTTATTTCACTGAATTATACTCTTTAAATAACATCTCCAAACCCTAATCTTCCCGATCACTGCTTACACTCTTGCTACCTCTACCACAATGGGATTTGAATCGACAACTGCATCTCTGTGTTAAGGTGGTGTGGCAACTCGAACTGACGTACGTACGTACGAAGTTCTACGTTGTTACTGACTGACTGACTGACAGCATCCATTGATTTGACCCAACTTCAATGTGGTACATTTTATTACCTTCTAACACTATACTATAAAGTATTTTAAAAAAGTATGTATTTTTAAGAAAAGGAAAATTTAAATGATAAATATGAGGTGAATTACAATTATAGAACATTTTGTTCTTGAAAGAGTTTCCTCCTCTGAGCTGGATGGTTTGGTTGTGGAGCTTTCATCGTCCTTCCGAATGACATCATCATCTCAAACTTCAGGTAGAAGTCTGAAGTTTGTCCTGATGATGTCAATCAGAAAAACGATGAATGTTTCACAACTAGACCATCCAGTTCAGAGAACGAGATTCCATCAAAATCATCCACCTGAGTTACAAATCTTCTCCAACATTTTGTTCTGCTTGGTCATAACTATGTAATAGGTAGTTTTGAAGAAAATGGTCAACAAAATAAAAAAATTACTCAGTTCAATGAGGAAGTTCTCTTGTTTTAATATAAATTTTCTTACAGTTTAAGGTATTATCAACAAGGTACTAGAGAACATAACTTTTTTGCATTTTTCAGAACTCCAAGTTTAGTTAAAAATTAAACTTGATAATAATTTTATCTACATAATAAAGTGCTCTTACTTAGTTTTGCTCAATAAATGGTTGATCGTTAAAATAATAAATTTCATATTTGTCTAGTCCTTTATTGCTGTTAGAATTTCATCTATCAAGTTGCAATATTGTCATTAGTCTGAGTATCTTGACCTCAGGTGTACTATGTTGAAAAGTTATGTGGTTGTGGGTAGTTAGAGGGAAAGTTTATAAAGCTGGGTGACATGTGTTCAACCCCACAGAGAGTGCCACTTTTATAATGGCTGGAAATGCACTTTACTAACAAGTCCCAATGAATGCGAAATTTCAGTCAACAGTTTTCTATTGTCCAAATTTACAACCTAAAAACTAAGTTTGTATCATAAACTGTGAATGATACTAAATAATAAGGCAAGTAATCTGAAACCATTATGTTTAACTTTGGAATCTACTGTTGATTATTTGGTTTAAGTTGCACGGTAATATCACAACTTGTCTATCAGTTAAGATGTCTAGCTCAAATGATATGAATCTGTGATCAGTTATTGAGCTGCATTAACGTTAAATGAATAATCATGCCTAAACATGAAATGCTAGATTATAGGTTGCTTTTGTTCAGGCCTAAAATCAGAAATGGATCATATTGGCGTCGGTATATACACTTTCGTCTTCCCTTAAGCCATGAGATTAAAATTTCTTTATATCTTCCTTTCTACGAACTAATTCTTTCTTTCTGTGCTTTATCTTTATATACAATCTTTCTTGTATATATTACTACCAGTGAACTAATTACTTCTATGAATTCGGTCTTCACCTTGTCGTGCTAATGAAGTGTAGCAACTTCGACCGATGCATAAATGTGCCTGGTCCTACGTTGTAGCTGACTGACTGAAATTTAAAAACTCATATTCATTTTTTGAATCATTTATTTTAACATTCTTTCAATAGCGTTGGAGTACTGCTAGTCAAATTTTAATAGAACTAAAGAAAATGCATACATTTGGTGATGAACGTGGAGCTGAAAGAGATACTCTATTAACATATTATTTTGCTATACAAAAATTGACCGTAGGAGGAAGGTAGGTTCATATTTGTTTTGCGTAAGAAATCTAAACACAATGATTGTTTGAAATGATAATTAACAACTAATAGAGATTTTAAGATGATCGTTACTGTCAGTTAAAACTAAGATTTTGTTTACCAACCTACTTTGTGAACTGAAAATCACATTTATCAAGTTCCATCCTGACCTAGAAATTTAGCTTTGAACAGATTTTTATAAAACCATGAATCACCTCATTTAGTCACTTTTCAATAAATATCGTTCAAATGCTTTAAAGAAGTAATCATCGTTCCATCAAATACCAGATTACTGACTAGGACGCTTGAAACAATTGAAACAAGGTGAATTCTGAATATAGTCAGTAAACATGTCAGCTAAGAAAACATATCCAAGTCATTAAGGTCAATCACTGCTCTCTTTTCAAGTTGGAAGTGTAAAACATAAGATTTTAATTTCAACCCATTGCACATGCTAGTGGATATCTAAAGTCGGTAGTTAAGTAGATAACGCGATGGCGTATGGGTTTGAGTCCCGGATGAAGATCGACTCTGGGATGCAGATACATTCAGCTGACGAGTCACAAGTGGGATACAACAAGTATCCTGGATTTCACTGCTAACCACTATTCATGTCTGCTCATAAGATTTCAGTTCTGTGATATATTGGTGACAAGTTAATAGATCTATCTGAATGTTATCATTTTGATCGCATGTAGAGTCAATGATATAAAATGTTCTGAAGTCTTATCCAGTTTTCCCTGATTTTAGATGATTCTTTGAAAAATTTCCATGATCGACATAAATTACTTTTACAGTGTGTAGATAATTTACTTTATGAAAAGTATAAGAAAATATACATTTAAATGAGCAGAAAATTTTTAGTCATAAACATGAACTGAATAACAGAATGTATCAATAAATAACAATGGGCAATCAGGCACTGAAAATAATTAAGTGTTTGCACGCCTTTTTTAGAAGGTCATATGTTATCCTGGATAACTAATATTCTGCCTTGATAACGTTTCTTCATTTACTTAGACGAGGTAGAAGATTTCAATTCATTGGTATACTTTTAAGCTTATTTTAATTATACTGAATGATATTTGGATTGATGTTGACAAAATCCTTCTAGACATGGTCTTGTTACCTGAATCCTATAGGCTAAGTATGTGCACTGAATTCGTCGTTCCAATATGGAAGCGATATATCCCGGATGTAAACAAGCATTCGAAGAGCGAATTTCTTTGTCTCCTTAATTCAGTTAGTCTCGCAAGGTGAAACCTGACAAATGTGTTCAAATTACTATGCCCGTTAGGATAGAAAGATGAGATTGTTACGGAAAACCCAAGAGTAATAGATGTAGTAATAGTATTAGTGATAGTGAAGGAGATTAAGCATCGAAAATATATAGATTAGTGAAATGAGGAAGTTTGGTAAACTTAGAAATTTAGGATCTAGCCAAGTCACCCACTGGTTACAATGATCACGTCGATTTATATCAAATAATCTCCAACAATTTCCATGGTTCTTGTCGCCACACATATATACAAAACATCATGATAATACCGATTCTTATAAAAAATATGTGTCTATACATTAGTCAACTGGCATGTATCTACCATAATCTGTGAAGCTTTCTTAACAAATATGCTCATATAGCCAGATCAGGGTAAATATAATTGTTTAAAAATGTAAAATAAATCTATTTCAATGGCTGAGATCATGAGTCATTTGAAGCTAGACCACCATGGAAAACCTGGAAGTAATGGACGGCCGTTTTGTCCTATTATGGGACTCATCGGCAGTCCGAATCCGCGATTCTGACTTGCCGGATGAGAACACAGGACCTTTCACTCTCGCGTGCGAACGCTTAATCTCCAGACCACTGAGCCGGCCGGCATCCAATGGTGTTGATATCTAACTTCAACTAATCCACAAAACTGAGCGATACATGAATTCACTAATGACTGGCTTCAAGAGGTAGTAACTTACTGAAGACAATGGTGGAAAGTGGCTCAATTTCGTAAATTAATTGAATTTAGGCATTAACAATGATCTAGAGCATTCGCACGCGAAACCGATAGGTCCTGTGTTCGAATCTCGCGAAGTGGGATCGTGAATTCACACTGCTGAGGTGTCCCATACTTGGACAAAACGGCCTTCCAGTGCTTCTAGGTTTCCCATATTATGAAAAATTAAGCGCTTAACAACAAGAAAATCTTTAGATTGAAGAACCAAATGTTTTTTTTCATACATCTTATTTGATGGTGATGAATAACCGAAGTTAAGATATGTAGTTTATATCATTTTTATAACTTGTGTCTTCTTGGATATGATTAAATTTCAATGAAAATTAGACGAGACTATAATTTATGGACGAACCAATCACGTATAAGATAACAGGTTACGGATTTTGGCGAGAAATTCACCCATCCGTTTGGAATATGTAGAGTTTTGACATTATGGCTAATGTCAGTTCGTGATAAAAACCCTGAATGTAATTCCTAATCTTAACCATCAAATAAAAATCATAATCTTTATTCTTCAAACTGCTTTATAAACCACATTTAGCCCTAGTAAGTAGGTAGACATTCTCAAGGTCAATTTAGCATCACTCAAAGGTAGTTCATAAATTATAATCTCACCGAAAATTAATACTTTTAACGAGACTAATTCCAAGTTATAGGCATTAGAATTCTTATCAGTAAAATATAACACCGATTTATTAAAATATGTGATTTAGATAAATTTACAGTATTACCAGTCCTTAGACGAAATGTTTAGCTCAAAATTAAGCAATCAAACATATGTTTGATATAAAATAGATGGAATGTAGCTAGCAAAGGAATCGAGGACATGCGTTTCGTTCTTCCTGGGAGTATATTTGGTTGATGAATTATGATATAATTCTATTGATTCTCATCAGCTGTTCTTATAACCCGAAAACAAAAATATCAAAAAAAACTATCCAACTCCAATGTTTCAAAATAAGCACAAGTCTCTAGTGACAGATCATCAGGTCTAAGACTTCATTTTGTTCACCTCAGCTTGTTTTAATCTATGGTGTAAACGAATGACGAACAGTTTTCGTCACTGATGTTTACTTCATTTAATATTTTTTTACTAATAAATCACGAAATATTGGGTAACCTAAATGAAATACATCTTTTTTGTCGATGTATCTGAAGCCAGTAGAAATAAGACCTATGTAAGATCAATAACGTTATGTGGTAATTTATTAGAATATAAAGAACTAAAAGTAACGAAAATAATTACTTCAGTAGGAAACAACTCGTAACGTTGAGTATTTACAAATTAGATTACAAAAGGAGATAAATGTAACTAGGATTCAAATGATCAATATTACCTCACTACTTAACATTGAAGTAAACTCACCATGCTAATGAAAAACATTGAAACATATATTTATGAGTGAATAAGTAGGATGAATTACTTAGTTCAAAACCGTATTCCCATTTCGAGTGAACCCAAGGGTATGCTTAAAACCTGATAAAACGATCCATATTGTTATTTCTAGCTTACTGTTACCACTATTTATTAAGCTACATTTAAATAGATTGATAGTTGACATTTCCATGAAATGCGTTTGTTAAATCATGTTAAATCACGTCTACAGCTATCGTTATCAAAATGTTAGGTAAATATTAAACAATACAGTATACACGAACACTACTGCTTTACAAGTATAGCAAATTAGGTTCAGAAATGTATAATTTTGAAATCTAAAAGGTTAGATATGTGTTGAAGTGAAATTTTTATTTCTCAAGTAGTTTTTCGACTAGTTCTGCTTCTGTATAATTAAGCTGTTCAATAGACAAGACTAATATTACTTACTTACGCCTGTTACTCCTAATGGATCAGATGCCGCCGACTAGTATTCTCCAACCCACTCTATCCTGGGCCTTCTTTTCTGGTTCCAGCCAATTCTTGTTCATTCAAGACTAATATAGTATTTAGGAAAAATCACATATAAACTGGAGTTCAATGCAATGCTGAATCTTTATTTCTCTATTTCGTTTTCAATAAACTGGTCAGTATTTTATGTCATACTTATCTCTTTTCAGATGTCTTTGTCATGGTCATGGTAATGAATGTAGAAAAAGTTCTGGACCAGGACAAAAGGAAAGATTAGTATGCGTTTGTGATCCAGCTCATCATACATCTGGTGATAATTGTGAACAATGTCAATCAGGTTATCATGACCGTCCATGGCAACCTGCTACTCCACAAAATGCCAATCCATGTTTAGGTATGTAATATGAATAGAAGCATCTTTATATTTTGAATGTACATGGATTTGACAAATGCTCATTTTCAGCAGCATGTTCAAGAATGTTTTCTGTACAAAGAGTTATTCTAATTGTAAACATCACAAAGAGTAAAATATTTTACAATCTCATTGAAGTTGGGTTCCAACTGATCACTTGAACCTACTTATCACTGAGTAGGAGTACACGACTGCTAAATAAAATATGAAATGAATAAGCGAGGTAATAAATAAAAGTCTCAAGTAAGTTTGTATCAATGTAAAACAGAACTGCCTTAAATCAGAACTGAGTTTACCTCATTCTGAAAACATTTGAATTGTCACTTAAACCAGAGTGATAAGGAATTATTTATTTGATATTAACTGTTAATGGAAACCAGGACGTATGCTACTTATACTGTCAAACTCTAAAGAGTTACCCATTAAACTATTGTATTAAGATATATATCACGTATTCAAAGGGTATATGTATAAGCATTATTACTTAATAAAAGTCACACAGTGCTTTTGGTCTAAACGTTATAAAGTCTCATATTAACACACTGATTATAAGTACCATAAGAGACTTGGAACTCGCATAACTACATAACTACATCATCATGAAAATCATTTTAGTGATAGTCTAATTAGGTCTTCGATTAATTTTACTACTACAAAGGCAGATTACAAATTATGAATCTTATTAATAATAAACTTGTCGAAAGCTAGAAGTAGACTGTATCATCATATACTTAAAACAAAAGCGATCGCTTTCCAAACTCATTTCCGAACATTATCTCATATGGCTAATGAAAGGTGAGTTTAAATCAATTACTATTCAATATTAGAACATTTTGTAAACTCTGGTCTAATGGCCTCATCTAGAAAGTCTTTAAAAATCATCTATACAGTCAGATAACTTAGTTCTTTAGAAGCGCGAATTAATAACTCATGCACTGCATGAGGCATTAGCAACCCATCTTTTTAAACCTGAACTCTATGTACAAAAGAGACACATACAAGCCATCATTCTTTCATGATCTTAACACCTAATTTTCATAAACAGGAATTTGATTTTAATACATCCTTTTAATGATTTTATTCATTTTAGTTTTAATTATTAGTTATTATTACATTCACGCTTTTAACTTATTCTTCACACGCTTTTCAAAATCGTCAACTGAACATTTATCGTCCAGATATTTGATTTCATTTTATTATTTCTTTTCAACTCTTGTATATTATTGTCAGAATGAGGGTTTGTGGAAATTGTAGTAATTTAATGGTTGAATTCATGAGTTGATTGAAGCTATACCAACCCGAAAAATCTGAAAGCATTGGACAGCCGTTTCGTTCTAGTAAGGGACTTCTCAGCAGTGCAGATCCACGATCTCACATACGGGATTCGAACCTAGGACTTATCAGTCTCGCGCGCAAATGCTTAACCACTGAGCCAGCATCCGACAGTGTTATTGTCTAAATTGTATATTAAGTAACTTTCTTTGTTACATAATACGATGTAAGCGTCATCTTATTTTTCAGTGGACTATTTTATTTGTGAATGAACTATAAATACGATTATACAACTTGAGTAAGTGATAATGTCGAAAGAAAATTTCTTCGTCGAATTATCATTATTCTTTATCAATGATATCATAGGTTACTTTCATTAGTTTAGAATCACTTTAAATTCATGAACTCAAAGAATATCCCTTGGTTTAATATCAATACTGGATCAGTACTTGTCGAAAGTATTAGTTGGAATTTTTCGAACTGTTCAGAATAATAAACTTATCAAAAACTTCTAGACAAAATGACGGTACAATTTTTGCTAATCTTTTAGTTTAAACATAGTTCACTTGAAAGAATGTTTGTCACAATGTTAACACTTTTGTCAGGAAACATGGTTTTCTGAAGTTACAGAGAATATCTGCCACAATTTCATCTCGATTTTGTTTCACTAACATAATAAGATTATTATCAACCAATAATTGGTAAGTAGATTTTACTTAATCATAAAAAGTCAATATACTTACTTACTTACGCCTGCCACCCCTCGTGGAGGAGCATAAGCCATCCACCAATATCCTCTATTCAACTCTATTCTGTTTCCAATTCTCCACATAGTGTATGTGTTCTTTGGTCTTCCTCTTTTCCGTTTCCCTTCAAGATTATAAGTTAGGGCTTGCTTCGTTATGCAGTTTGGTGATTTCCATAATCTATGATCTATCCACTTCCACCATCTTTTCTTAATTTCCACTCCAGATAGAAGCTGGTTTGCTTTCTCCCACAGTAAACCGTTGCTGATGGTATCTAGCCAATGGACGTCGAGTATTTTGCACAGACAACTATTTATAAATACTTATACATTTTTGATGATGGTTGCGGTAGTTGTGGAAGTTTCAGCTCCATCCAGTAGAACTGTCAAGGATCTACATAAATCAGAAAACCATAGAATTCCATTGCAAAATAAATCCATTGCTTTATCATACATTTAAATATTTTATTATGGAAATTGGGCTAACATCGGTTATATTTCCAGAAACAAACTTATTATTTTTTTGTAGCATGTAATTGTAATGGAAACGCACATCTATGTGAATTTGATCCGGAATTATATGGTCGTACTGGTTCCGGTAGTCGATGTATTGATTGTGGTAATAATACAGAAGGCATAAATTGTGAACGTTGTAAATCAGGCTATTATCCTAATCCGAAACAGCCAACAACATGTTTGCCATGTTCATGTGATCCAGTGGGTACTATTGATGGACAGGTTGAATGTAATGCACAAGGTCAATGTCAATGTAAACCTGGAATCGGTGGTAAAGCTTGTGATCATTGTTTAGAAGATCATTTTGGTTTCAATGCTGGTGGTTGTCTGTAAGTGAATTTCGCTATCAAAAAGTTATTCATGTCAGTGATTATACAATAATCATTACGATGTTTATCTTAAAATAAAAAAATAAGAGTGTCCAACAGGTCTCAATCTAGCATCTTCATCCCTTTAGGGTACTCCACAAAAGTATTTATGGATACTTGAATTAATTTTTTTCTGGTTAGTGTTTTTTTAGCGAGTTAGTTTTCTACGGGATGGGGTTGCTAACCTCATGCCCAACCCTCCTCCTTTATCCGGGCCTGGGACCGGCAGTAGCCCCCGGAGGGACTCCAGGTGGAGTTATGGACACTTAAGTAGGTTGCGTAATAATTGATAAATAAGTATTATACTGAAAGAATAGTACACTGTATGTGTGTGAATATGAGACATTTTCCTGGTTGATTAGTAGTATGAAAGAGGGATGACTAATTAATAATGATAAATGAATGATCTATTTAGTTATTTTTACCATAAATTCTTTTTCTACATAAATTAATGTTAATTATATTCAAGTAATTTATTATTTGCCATTCTTTGGTTATCCTGTAAACTTAACTACTTAAATCAATAACGTATAATAGATCAGTATAGTTTATTAATCATTTCTCAATAGGAAAAGTGGGACTTTTTTTTTATAGAGAAAACTGTTTATCACAAAATTACTCTCAGTACTATGGTAAGTACGACATATTTAGAGGTTTCGGCCTAGCTGAAATACGTGATTAGTGACATTGTGAGAGAGACAGTAAACTATCAACAACATTGAATAAAGATAGCTTTATTTCATATATTGACTAAAGTGATTTGAGTAAATGATACTATATTATCATGCTCACTATTGGAATCGAGTCATGATTTCGACATGGTATTGGTGAGACTATAATTTATGAACAACCGACCTTGAGAGTGTTTACCTGATAACTAGGATCAAATGGGATTATAAGTCAGTGTGAGGAATTAGAATTATGATTTCCAGTTGATGGATACGGTTAAAAATTAGATTAAGGGTTTTCATCACGAACTGACATCAGCTATAATGCCTTGACTGTATTTAGCCTAATGTATGAATGAATTTCACACCAAAACCGAGACCTGATATCTTATATCGAATTAGTTCATCTATAAATTGTAGTCTTGCCCTACAAACTAGATTACAATGTCAGCCTTCTACAATAATGTAGAAATTTTGATAATATTCTCTTTACTTTCAAGCAATGTATGCTTTCATACTTTTTGAAAAAATGAAAATCATAACTTCATTGAATTCTATTTTAGACCATGTAATTGTAGTGAAGGTGGTAGTTATGAAAATCGCCTTGCTTGTGATTCACAAACAGGTCAATGTATATGTAAACAAAATGTAGCTGGTAAACAATGTGATAAGTAAGTCATTTTTTGTACGTTTACTGATATAACAAATAAATAATTAACTTTTTGATTTATTTCATGGTTTTCTGATGATCTTGATACAATTTGGAATCAGTTTACACTAACGACTGAAATTACGTGAAGATACATTAAAGTCAAGGAACGCATGATACCTATTGTGTTAGTTTAGAGGTTTACATTAATGTCGTGTTTGGTCACAGATTGAAATCAGACAACAGAAAACCATGTTTCACTTAGATTTCATGTTAGTTGTCACTCGTTACCAGTGACTACCTACAGTTTTCCTGGAATTGGTGTTCTCCATTGAACTCAAACTTACATCACCCAGTTTCACTGTCTGAGACGTTGTCACGGATCTATTTGAGCAGAAACTGATCTCCTATAGGACTGAGTTGATTCCCTAATAGATCATTGCCTAGCAAAATAATTCATCCTTATCAAATCGATCAAGTTAAGCTAAGAACTAGACAAATATTACTGTAGCCACAAATAAATATTCAGTAATAGAATCGATTGGCAGTCTGATTGACTTGGACATTTTAAAATATTTGTTGAAAATGAACCGAATGACTGTTTTTTGATTTCTCCTTTTAAACAGTAAGCATCTAATGGTTTTATTCTGTTTAATTCGTTTTTTTCTTTAGATGTAAGATTGGACATTATGGTCTCATGTCAAATGATCCATTAGGATGTAAACCATGCTTATGTTCTTTGCACTCGTCAGAATGTAAATTAGACGAAGAACACTTAAGTAAGGTAGCTGGTAGACCTGGTAAGTAGAATATATCAGTTATATATTATTCAAAAGACAAAAGTTATTTTAAACACTTATCATTATGAAGTATTATGTTAAAAAGCTTATGGAAGTTAAGTCATTTAAAGTTATATTAAGTGAATATTAGGGCTTCATTTTAAAATCTTTTAACGAATCTTATTTAATATATTATATAGAGATTTGATTTATTTTCATTCCTTGAATTACATTCTACTTGGTCAGGCAATTGTAATTATAATATGCTTATTCTATATGAACTAACCATTAGTTGTCAGGTTTCATCTCTAAAGAATGACTTTTTACTAAGTTGTGAAGATTTCAATATATTTCAACCATAGTTCATTTCGTTGATTGTTCCATTTCGCTTAACATTTACTCTATTAATTAATAATTTTCAAATATAACTAATAGAACTGTAAGCTGAGAAAAGCTTGACTTAATGACTTATGCATGACAAATAAAACTGATTTCAATTCGGTACTGATAGGGAATATGATTTACAATTTGTTTTCAAGTTAGGCATTTTTTTGTGGGGGCGTGGTCTACTTACAATTAAAGTTTACCTAGTCACAATTCAGATCTCAACTTCAAAGCGTAAATCTGTAGTCGGTATTACGCATTCTAATGTACTATATGATGACTGATTACATCATTGGTAATGACAGAGTAGTTGATAATAATTGCATAAAGAACATATTAACTTTACCAATAAATGACAAATTGGAGAAAGTTAATTAGAACAATTTAATATATCGTATGCATACCTCATTTGTCGTACTATTTATGTCTATGCTACGCTTTCATAAAAACATTCGCCTAACTTTGTATTATTATTAGGGATCCATATACAGCAAAGATGATTATCAGATCTCATATCTATAAAATGTAGTCATGGTTAAATCTATTCCATTTTATTGCATTAAAACTCATGAATTTCAAAATGATTTCTGCTTAGATAGTGACTAAGTGTTTTATTAGTAAAACTGAAAAGTCAATTAAAAAGTTGGTAAGAAATCATTGTGTGGTGTGTGCTACTTATATTGATATAAGTAATATATGACATGAGTCAGGAATGTAATGTCTGGCAGCAGAAGATGGGGAAGATCAAGAAAGGAAGAGTGAGAATAGAAAGCAATTAGTATGGAAATGCAAGAACAACGAAGTTCGAGACAATTATTGAAAATTTTGCAAATTAAGTATCATAGTATGGTTCTTCTATTTTACCAATCGGTTGTCCTCACTGCAAATGTAAGCTGATGAGCTAAAGTCATTGGTTTAAAATAATGTACATAAAATACTTAACAGAAGTATAAACATATGACAGAAGTGATGATAACACTATTAACAATATCTTCTGAATGAAGCAAGGACAACTATCTCTCTTGTTAATTCATTTTTGTATTGGGTGTTTGAATCTTCTCAGTGATGTTCAGAATTGCAATTGATCAGTCTCTTATTAGTCTATGTACATCCTGTGTGGATAGCCTAAATATAGCCTTAAATCACAAGCATCATAAACAGAGATGGATGGTGGATAGTAATCGAATTCAGGACTCATCCTATTTGGGACTCGTCAGCTGGATCCACCTGCATCTTAGAGCACCGTCCGTTCCATACGTCGTCGCATTATTCAGTTAGCTAATGGATCCAGATCGCCACTTTTTTATACAATCGGGTGAACTTTTAGTTCACTTTTGTATTGTTCACTTGAATCTTCCCATTGATGTTTAGGACTCCAATCGACCAGTCTCTTATTGGTATATATACATCCTGAGCAGATAGACTTGATATTACCTTAAATCACAAACATTATAAGCTAGTTATTAGAAAATATCATGAATTAAAAAGGATGAATGCCAAATAAAGTATTGATCATACATAAATTCTTTTTACCTTACAAAACCAATGAGCATCATTGAGAGCTGTCATATTAAAGGCTATATCAATAATTTCATACCTATTTACTGATTTTAACATTCTGGATGGAACTTCATGTATGATTACAAATTGTACTACTGAGTAATCTAAGTGTTATTTAAGTAAAATAAAGAAAAATAATTAATAGAGGTATCTATCTCAGTACAATGGAAGATGGTCACGCAATTTCATGGATTGGTTGATGTTAGACGCTATCATCATTGAATGCCGGCTCAGTGGCCCAGTAAGTTAGGTGTTCGAGCGCGAGACCGAAGGCCCTGGGACTGAATCCCGCGAGCAGGATCGTGGATGCGCACTGCTGAGGAGTCCCACAATAGGACGAAACGGTCGTCCAGTGCTTACAGGTTTCCAAAGGTGGTTTAACATAGATCGGTTCATGATCTCAATCAAAAACGTAATAATTTCCACGACCCCTATACTAGTAATAGAAATGTATTCAATTTAGAGTATAAAACATAATAAGAATTTATGATAAAGATAAATCCACTTCAATGTTGTTATTCTGTCAACGTAAATTCAGGTTTCCAAGTGAACAAATTTTCATCTCACACTTTTTTAACAAATGAAACGTAGTTATGTTGAATATTTAATAAAAATGAATAGTCCGATTTAATTCCAAACTTTATTCATTCATTTTTATAGGTGAAATTATTGAATTGGAAAGTTTAGTGAAACCAGATCAAACTATTATTAATTGCCCAACGAATAAGAAACCATGTTATGCATGCTTACAAAAAGGTAAGAATTAATCCATTCAACCATAATAATTTTATAATGATCTTTTCTAAAAAGCTTACTTACTCTATACCATATTCCACCGTCATATATGACAATTAGTAAATATCAGAAGAGGTTATGTGGAGATTTTAGTAATTTCAATAGTCGAAATCATGAGTCAGTTGAAGCTAGATCACCATGGATAAATTGGAAGCACTAGACGGCCGTTTCGTTCCAGTATGGGACTCCTCAGCAGTGCGTATCCACGATTCCGAACTCAGGACCTATCGGTCTGGCACGCGAACGTTTAATCTCTAAACCATTGTTAAGGCATCCAATGGTGTTAATGTCTAACTTCAACCAATTTACGAAATTGAGCCACTGTCCACCATTGTCTCCATTGAGTTTCTATCTCACAACAGACGTGGTCGAATTCCACTGGTCACTGCTTCTCACTAGAATAGGACGAAATGTCTTCGAAATAAAAAATTTCAATGAGTCTTTGAAAAAAATAATAATAATGATGATGTAGTTAAAGTGTTTTATTTCCAATATGATTATTCATTGAAGTCATTAAAGCAGATTGAAAACGGAATAGAATTTTGTCATACAGTGTTGAGGCGATTCAAGTATTAGAAATATAGTGTATACTATTAATATTTAAGTGAATATATGTGGATTTTCCGTTGATTTAAAGGTAGTTAAAAAATAGTAACGGAGGAAACTGTTTACCTTAGCCTTTTTAATACCTGATTTTAAGAGGCACTTATGGAATTCTAGTGGAGGGCTATGACCAGTGAAGTTCAATAGTATCGAGTTTGAGATAGTTATCCACCACGGTCAATAGAAAGTTGTTGTACACTACCATAAGTTGACTGAAATTCGACCTATACATTATTAGATTCCTGCTCAATGTTATTGAGGTTAATTGTCCGTAAGAGAGACCGAAGATCTGAAATCTTCATACTAAACTATGAATATTCTCCATCATCTCTTCATCTTGCATCTTTTTCTTTTCATATCGTCCCAATTAGTGATTATTATATAATACTAGAGGATATACTTAGTAATTTTTGTCCTATAAATGACTGAACTTGTACTCAGAAGGAGATTGTCAATATTAGCAAGCTGGTCAGAATGTCTCATTGTAATTATAATGCAAATTATTCACTTTCTAGATAGACATATTCAAGTTGGATGCAATGGTACAACAGAAGGTTATTTACATTGCTTGTGTGAAGAAGATCCAAATCAATGTCCCTATTGTCCATCAGGTAGGCCCGTGATTCATTACATTCATTTGTTTGTTGATGATTCATTTATTTGATCATTATACATTATTAGTGAACTGTTATCTATTTTCCAACCTTTTTCTTTTGTTGTTACTAATATATTGTATATTTTTTCAGGGGAGTATATGTCTGCGACTGTACAACTTTTAAATTGAATCCCTCTGAAATATATCTCTTCGATGAGCTGATATGTTTTCTTTTTGGTTTCAAAATATCCTTATTTATTTCATATATTCTTGTACAAATTAAAACTCAATAAATTTTGTTATTTAATTTTTCAGGCTGGCGTACGCCACAGATTGATCCTCGTTCTGAAATATGTACATGTCCTCCACAATATACTGGTAAATCATGTGAATTTTGTGCAGATGGACATAGACGTGATCCACCTGGTGGTCTTATTACTGATCGTTGTATCTTATGTACATGTAATAATCATGCTACACGGTGTGATCCTGAAAGTGGTAAGTATCTAAACCAAATTACATTTTAGAATATATATATATAGCACTTGACATCAAGGCATAACTGCAGTCTTTAGGGAACTGATGTCCCCTATGTAATTTTAACTCGATTAACTCAGCTCTCCGGTATGAGATGTTACCACTGATCTATTCGGTCAGTGATTAACAACGTAAATCAGTGAAATATTTACGACTGATTGTTTTTTTATATATTTATCATTAACTTAGAGGTTTTAAGAAATATATTACTGTACTATATATCTAGCTTGAAAAAGTTCAACTAAATTATCAAAATGTCAACTGTAATAAGCACTGAATGATTTTGTACATTTAATCGTATTCTCATTTAATTGTAATCATCTTGAAAAGATTAAGCTAAATTCTTCACATTAGTTAGAGTATATTAATATAATTAAATAAAATGGATAAATTGACAGAACCAAGACGTTTATGAATGCCCTGGTATGGCCGTGAGTGGGGTGGGTCCGCCCTCCCTCTCGAAATGGTACCACACGGTCATGCATATACAGCCTCTGCCAGGTAAGTCCTACTCACTGCCTTCTCGTGATAGAGGTGTTGTTTACGAAATCGAGAGGACGATAAGCGAATTTCCGGTACTTTAACCGGATTCCGAAACAATGGTGCACATGGGCTCCAGGATCCTGAGGGAACTAATGGCGTATGAACCAATCATTGGTCACTCGCTACAATGGGACTGCGTCTCCTTGCGTTGCTTTACTGCCTTGTGGGTCAGACCTTTAGGTCGAAGGCTCGGGGTTTGGCCCCCTAAGAAAACCACCTGTTTCGTTTTGGGCACCCGGCAGTATCCCAGCCCTCACACAAATCGAATGATTTATGTGGTGCATATCTATTTGGTGCCTCCTTGTACCAATGTTTATGTGATTAAATAAATAAAGTGTGCATCAAACTACTTACTCATGTGATTATAGAAGGAGTTGATATAATATGGAAGTTATGATTTTTTTTTTCTGTATCGAGTTGATTTGTAATCTAATGTAATCCTCATCATGTGTCATTGTTCAGACATCTGTCCTGACTCCTACTTACTTGGATTTAAGAATTAACGCTTTAAATCAAAGCCTTGATGTATGAAATATTATATTGATTGATCTATCAATTTATATACTTCTAAGTAAATAAAATAGTCTTGAAATCAGTAAAGTATCACGTCATTTATGATCTATCAAAGATTTAATGATAGAATTCATGGAAATATTCTTTCACTATCGACCAAGTTATGCTATCACAGACTTATATGATGAAAAAGAGACAACCATGATGATTGTTCAATCCATGATACAGAATCGAATTATTTGATTAATTTCATAAATGGTATAACTTGGCTTGAATTTCACTTGGATTATGAAAGATTTGATTAGATAATCATCAAACTAAATCATATGTAGGTTAGAGTTGAAATCGCAACAAGTCGTTCTAATCGTTGAGTGTTGTCTGAGAAACCTACAAGTTCTAGGTTTTATTCTTAGTACTGATTCATCGGTGCCTACTATTTCAATGTCTCATGTTAGGATGATACAATTGTTCAGTGCTATTTGGCTTTCAATGATATTAGAATTATGATTAGTCTGTGATGAATATTACCTACAAATTTAATAGTGTTTGATTGACAATTTAAAGTATGTTCTATAAGTTGTTTTAAGTAACGATAATAACGATAATAATAATAGTTGTGGCATGAGTATCGGGAATGACCTTATGCTGATAAACGTTGATCAGTGGTTAATAATAACAATAATAATAATATGATAATAATAATAATAATAATAATAATAATAATAATGGTAATAATAATAATGGTAATAATAATAAATGTAGTATACAGACAGTTGTCAAACAATAAAAGTAATAATAAAAATAACTTCTTATTTTGCTATCAAAACAATAATAATCTTAATGATTAATAATAATGACAATATTTATAGCATTAGGGATACTGATTATTGATGCTTGATAGTGTACCTTCATATTCATTAGGATAGTTATTCCACATACATATCAACATACATACCAACATTTGACCAAATATAAGAATGATTAAGGTCATACATAATGTTTACTTCCGGTCTATGTTTTCTATATTAAATAATATTTAACTTGTCTTACATAATTCATATATTAATGCTATTTTATTCACTTTTTAATAATAAAATAGATAAAGAATATTCTCTAATAATCATTATAAGCTTGAAATGTATTCAAATTTTGTATTATACATAAAATGAATCAGTTAAATAACTAGTACATTGGATATAAACAAACATATTTTTTTTCAGCCGGTTAACTGAACCACACAGATACACGTATCTATCTATCTATCTATCTATCTATCTATCTATCTATCTATCTATATACATTTGCATACGTTCTACGTAAGTTGTTTTATACCTAAAAATCATACTGTCATATCTGAAATATACATTTAATGTATATTTAGCACAAATTATCATTACTAACATTATGATTATTTAGTATAATAATGGATAGATTAATCTAAATTAATCAAATGAATATAATCATATTAGTTTTTATAGCATAATCGATAAAAACTCCTTAATTCAATCTAGAAAATTTATATTATTAGTATTATGTTGTAATTATCTGATTATGTACATTGTAATGGTAGTAATACTTACAAAATTGACAATGTTGAGATGCGTGTTACGTATACTCAAACACTGACTGTCCAGACGTGCGATGTTTTAATGGTGTAGGAGTAGATTGGAAGAAAGTTAGGAGTGGTCAGACCAAAACATGGCATGAATCCATGAAGTCACTAACAAGTGAACTGAGCCATGTTGATATATGTAGACTACCTGGTTGGAATCCGGGAAATGATAGCAACCATTGGTTGGAGACCTTACAATGGTGTTCTCTCAAATTCTAATCTTCTGAATTCTGAATGTCCCTATTTTTTCCTCTTTCTAAATTTGTTTCACTGGATTATACTCCTTGAATAACATCTTCAAACCCTAATCTTTCTGATTACTGCTTATACTCTTACTACCTCTACCACTACGGGATTTGAATCGATAACTGTATCCCTGTGCTAATGTGGTATGGCAACTCAAACTGATGTGCGTACGTACGAAGTTCCACGTTGTTACTGACTGACTAAATGAAACACTGTACAAAACTTTAAAAGTAGCAATTCATCTTTTTTTGTTGTTTATCCATATAACAGTCTGATGTGATTCACGAAATTAAAGACTGTAGTTCTATACACTTAAATATTAGCTTATTCAGAATAGATGGATTTTGGTTAGCAACGGAATCTTGAACGAATATTTTGTTCTAGTTGAGACTTGTCAGCTGGATATAGCTGCATCCTAATGTTGGTATTGATAATGAGACTTCAACCTAGTCTCTCCATCTCGAATGCCAAGGTATTAACTTGTTCAACTAGTATGATATTTATATCGCCAGTAGTAAGTGTTTGAGCAATCCAGTTGTTGATATTCTTGACTCGCACACATTAGCCTCTCTGGTGCAATTCGATCGATGTGCTTGTAATGTTGTTATCTATTCTATCCGCTAATAAACTGTAGTCGCAATCTTGAAAGGAGTAGTGAACAATTTCAGTTCACTTTCAAGGTTCACATAATTATGTATATCTAGAAAGAAAAAAAACTAAAAAGCATAGATCACTTGACAAAATATAACTGTACTAAGTTTTTCTTCCTTTGATTCCTCTTTAAAGTACTGATTTATATATATATCATTATATTGAGTGATATAAGTTGATTAAAGTTCATGAAGAATCAAGCTTTAATGTAAGGAAGCCTTAATATAAAGTTGTAACAATCTGTCTGTCATATCCTAGTGAATATTGAATTATGGGTAACTTCTGGGAACTATTTATGGACTAATACTGTACATATATTCTAATTGTATAACTGTTAAGAAACTAAACTATACATATTTATGTTCCTCTTACTATAAGCCCTTAACTGATCTATTGGTTACTGTTAGATGATTTACCGTTCTCGAGTTGTTTTCAACCTATTAGTCACAGTTTCTCATAATCCCAACCACTTTGGCTTGATCTTGTACATATGTTACTTTCTGTTTTATAGTGTGATGTGGTCTGATTTTGCTTGTATATAAACCAGGTATGTTTGAAATACATGATTCGTGTCGAGGAGACTGAGATTGGTGTTCTGGACTAAACATGTAGGGTTAGACAGAGAAAGGACCAATCAGAACTCCAGGCTGCTCGTACTGGTATATGAATCATTAGTTTGGTCGTATAGGTCAGCATATCTCAATCGGCAATCGTGCTTCATGATAATCGTATAGCTAAGGATATAAAAGTGTCATTATAATATAGTTCTATTTATTTCTTTATTTGAACACATAAATATTGGTACAAAGGGGCACCGAATAAATATATCCCACACAAGTCACTTGATTTGTGTATGGGCTATGATACTGCCCTGGTGCCCAGGCAGAAGCAGGAGGTTTTCTTACGGAGTTACACCAAGAGCCTTTGACTCAAAGGTCCGATCTACAAGATAGTGGAGTAAATTTAAGGAGACGCAGTTCCATGGTAGCCAGTGACCACTTATTGATTCATACTCCATTTGTCCCTTCAGAATCCTGGAGCCCATGTGCACCATTGGTTTGGAATCAGGATTTTCCAAATCCCCTAGGTGGACCCTCTGTATCCACCAACCCGGTTAAAGCTCCGGACATTCGTCTTTCGTCCTCTCAATTCCGTAAACAACACCCCCGCCACGAGAAGGCAGTGAGTAGGACTTCCAGTCAATCAGTCGGTCAGTCAGGATTTACACTTTTAATCTGTCTATGATTTAGTTAGTAGACTGTGACACAATGTAAACATTATTTTAGCAGTAGTGTTAGAAGGGTTAAAATGATCCATGTGTTATACATGCAATGACAATGGATCTATTTCGAAGATGAAATTTTAGGAAATTTTCGAGATTTTTAAAAATTTACTTGTAAAAGGGAGGGGGATTTATGATTAAACGTTTATATTTTTTAATATTGACATTTGGATGCAGTCATTCAGTGATTTTGCAAGCTGTATTGAATTACTGCATTGAAATGTTAATTTATTTAGTATCTCGAAGAAAACGACTGTATTTAGTTGAAGCCACTGCTTCTTTTGTAATTATTCAAATATTTAGTTTATAAATGCTTTTTAATTATTATTGTGCCATTCAGCATTGATTATGAAGATGTTTCGTCAGTTCAGTAAGTAATCCCTAACCTCTGGTCATTGAATAATAATTCATTTTAACTGAATACTACTTACAAGTAGTTAAATATAACTACCTACATTTTATTAGACATTTTATCACAATCATTTATTTATTGGTCATCAAATATGTAGGTGACATAAAAATGTAAATCTTTTTAGAAAACTAGTAGTACGGTAACTAGAATCAGGTCATAGAAGATATATGTCCCACATGATTTTGGTGAAGAATTCAGACATATATTTGGAAGTGAACGGTAAGGGGTATTGAATATCTGTCTCAACATATTTTGATTGAATATGATAGAGTAAGTTTAAGTTATTTATTCACTATCAGATAAATGAATTCAACTAACTTAAGATGTCTGTTGAAAAATAATAAAAACAGAAGTCTAAATGCTTCATTTAACACTAAATTTTTTATACTGAATGAAATACGCAAAGATAGATAGTGGCTAGCAGTGGAATCCAGATCGCGCGTTTCGCCCTATTTGGGACTCGTCAGCTGGGTGCACTAGCATCGCAGAATTGATGTTCACTCTGCGACTCAAACCCAGTACCCTTCGCTTCAAACATCGTCGCATCATCCACTTGACTACTGAGTCCTGTTAGCCGCTTGCTAGTGCAATGAGATGAAATTTAAATTCACTTTTGTATTGTTTACTTGAATTTTCCCACAGTACGCACAATATGCCAGTAAGAGACTGATCAATAGCAGTCCTAAATATCAATAGGGAGATTCTAGTGAAACAATACCAAATGAATTTTTACATGAAATACGTTAAGATAAATTTCTCTTCATGTATATATTAATTAATGTAATTACAGTGTATTCCAAAACACAATATTTGACAAAAGATTGCTTTATACTAGTGAATAACGCACATTTTCTTTCAGACACAAAGGTTTAGTTTATTTCTGTTATTCGTTGAATAATACACATGCTAAATAAAGTGTTTTAAAGCTTTTGTATCTTATTGTATATGAATGAGTTTTACGGCATTTGCAGCTTGTTTCCTGGAGAATATAAGGATAGACAATTACTAGTAAGGCTAAAGGTTTATGTTAGATTAAATAACCTGTAAGATTATATCACAAACTGATCGTGATTAGAAAACCATTGGAAACTAGTAAACACTGGATAGTTGTTCCGCTTAAGTATGTGACTACTCCACCAAGAACCCAGGACCTCAAAGGCTCGCAGGAAGCGTTTTACTTCTAGGCCACTTAGCTATTATCTATTGGTTTGCATATATTACTTCAGGCGATTCACAGTACTGTGCAAGTATTTTTTCATGCCATTGGTGGGTAACTGCGACACACTGGATATAGCTGAAGTCCGTTGGTCACAGTGTCACATAAAATTCCGGAAATCAAATCTCGAAATTAATCACTAGTAAGCACATGATTATTATATGTTTAGAAACATATGAAGATTGTCGAATCCTATATTTGACATGACTTACTTGCATTGGCTAATGTAAGGAAGTTATCTGCTACTAGTTGCGTGATATTGCAAACTGATTAAAATTAAATACATAAACGTTTCAGTCCCAGATCAGCGGTCTAAAGATTAGGCATTCGATGCTAAAGCTGGACGTTCTAGGTTCAGTCTTTAATAAAGTCGTGGATATGAAGGAGTCCATTATTAATGGTTGTCTAACCTAGTTTGTTTCACGAAGTAAACTATAAAATCTAACTATATTCAAAAGCCTTGAACTAAATCTAAAATAACACTGACTAGTCGCACGTAAAATTTCAGACGTCTATCAGCAACTCTAGTCATAAAAAAACTAATACTAATTATTTGCTCAGCCTAGCTTAGTTAATTTCTTGAGAATACAAAGGAAAATTAATAAAAACTAGTGACCAACACCAAGTGATGAACAAAAATTGATCAACCGTAAAAGTGAATTTCGCCCAACCTTTAAGATATGTAACAAATCAAACGATAAAGATTTTCATCACTGACTTACTTACTTACTTACGCATGTTACTCCTAATGGAGAATAAGACGCCGACCAGCATTCTTCGACCCATACTGTCCTGGGCCTTCTTTTGTAGTTCTATCCAAGTTTTGTTCATTCTTCTCATGTGTGTCTCCATTCCTCGACGTAATGTCTTCCTTTTCTCTTTTGGCTTTGAGGATTCCAAGTGAGGGCTTGCCTTGCAACACAGATCGATGCTTTGCTTAATGTGTGTCCTATCCACTTCCAGAGCTTTTTCCTGATTTCTCCCTAAGCTAGAATGTGGTTTGTTCTCTACCATTGTTAATAAACACTTGTATCATCTGGATGATGGCTTTCGTAGTTGTTCAAGTTTCCTCCCCATACAGTAGAACTGTCTTAACATTCGTATTGAAAATTCTGACATCGATGTTGTTGGATAGTTGTTTTTAGTTCCAGATGTTCTTCAGTTGTAGATATGCTGCTCTTGCTTTGCTGATTCGCGCCTTTACATATGCATCTGTATAATCAATAATCCATAAATTACCTACATTTATCTTTTCTTTGATAAATTCAATATTTATTTTCCAAAATATTTAGTGTAACAACTGTGAAAAACGGACGTGAAACATGAAAACATTGAAATTAACACAAAATACGGAAGTAGATAAAAAAACTGGTGATAGACATAGAGTTTATTCACCTTCCACATAAAACATGACAATTTATCAACTAAATATAGTCATTTAGTTACCGACTTTACTGAAAATTAATCATTTCAGTGGTTGAGATCATGAGTCAATTGAAGCTAGACCACCATTGGAAACCTGGAAGCACTGGACGGTCGTCTCGCCCTATTGTGGGACTCTTCAGCAGTGCGCATCCACGACCCCGCCTCTCGAGTTTCAAACCTACAATAGGTCTAGTTTCAATTAAATCATGATCTTAACTATTGAAATTACCATAATATCCACAAAAACCCCTTCTGGAAATTAATAATTAATCAATAAATATCATTCATCACTAATATAGTGAAAATAGAATTGGATTTTATGCTAGAATTATGTAACTAAATGTAATATTAAACGAATGTTACTTTGAATTGATGTTATATTAATGTTGAATGACGTACTAACTGTACCAAATTAATAGGAAAGTCACAAAATTATTACATTGGATTAAAACAAATGTAACACTGAACAAATATCATAGTGAATTCAAACAATGGCGAATGATATTGAGAATAAATTAAAATATGATCTTGCATTTTATTCTCTACTAAAATTAATTAACTAGGATCAATACAAATTAAACGAAGTTATTTGTAATAGTGGAGGCGATATGTAGCTCAAGTGGATGATTTTGATGGAGTTTTGTTCTCTATACTGGGTGGTTTGGTCATGTAGTTTCATCGTTCGTCTTAACGAAATCATCAGCACAAACTTCAGGTAGAAATAAGGTGTTCGAATTTCTCTACATGTGGTTTACAGCTTCTCCTGTAGATCTCGATGATCAACAAGAACCAGTCATCATCAACAGGACAAAATATACTGTAGATTTATAACGCTTACTGTTTGATCAGAAAAGAATACACATACACTCTTTAAATTGTATGGTTTTACATTCATTTTTTTTCAAACAGGTCAGTGTGAATGTCAAGATAATACTGGTGGTTTATTCTGTGATCGATGTGCTGATGGTTATTACGGTGATGCATTTGCTGCAATCAATTCATCTGATGCTTGTAAACCATGTCCATGCCCTTCAGAAGCAAAATGTGAACAAGTTCATTGGCCAGACCGTTCAATTAAAGTTGTATGCAAAGATTGTCCAGATAATAGATCAGGTATTATAAATAAATATTTACATAATTAACACTAATTTTTATGCTTGTGACAGATTATCTTTGGTTATATCAAGGTATTCATTCTTAACCTGCTTCGATTTGTCGCCTAGGCAGTATTCCAGTTCTCACACAAATCGAATGGTTTATTTGACGCATATTTGGTGCCTCCTTATATCGATGTTTATATGTTTAAATAAATAAAATTTATTCTTAACCATATTAGATACGATTAAAAATGACTGCAGTTTTTTAAAGAAATAATTTGACTATGAAACAAATAGCAACTATGTGATGAAGGTAGTTTCATTAGTAAACTTACGCCTGTTACCCATTGTAGTGGAGTATAGGCCGCCCATTATCATTCTCTATCCAACTCTGCCCTGGACAATTGATTATTAAACAGATTTCATTTATTCCAGAAGTGATTACCAAAAAACAATAATTTAGTTTCAGTTTAATAAAATTTTAGTATCCTAATTTTTGGTGTTTTCACCATAAAATGGTTTAAGAAAATTTAGCCGATATGATTTTGGTTTAGTTAAATCAATGAAAATTACCTGATTCTATAAAACTTCAGAATGACTATTACAATCTCCTGCTTGATAATTTGGTCACCTCATCTTGAAATACTATAGAACCTCGCCTACAATTAAGTTTGTTTACGATTAACATTGTCAAGCTCTATAGTTTACTTGTTTAATAGATAGTGTTTTTCGAACAATAAAAATTTGTCTATGTCTTTGTACTATTATTATTACTTTCATGTCTGCATGAACATTTATGCTTGATCACAAGTGACAGCTTACGCACCTATTTCTCAATCTACCTTAAGTGTTAGTTGCTTAAATATCGCTCGATAAAACCATATATATACTTAAATCGTATTAGTTTATTCGATTCTGAATTTGCCTATGTATTCGTTTGCTCGCTCATATTGGCTTTTCTGCTCAAACTCGTTCGGTGTACTTATAGTTTTATTATCCAAATTTATACACCAAACTCTTGGTATGAGGGTCACTAGTTAACAGCAAATCATTGTTGGGATAACTTCTTACAATTTTGACCACTATGTTTTGCATTTGTTACCAATAAAAGATCATACGATATTCCGAGTAACTGCGCTAACGGTAACAATATTCTGTTCATAAGTAGCATGGTCTGATCATTAGAAATTATCAGTATAGGGTTATGGAGAATGTTGAGTTTTATGATTAAGATCATGAACCGATCAATGCTGGACCGCCAGTGGAAACCTGAAAGCACTAGATGACCGTTTCATCCTAGTATAGGATCCTTAGAATTGCGCATCCCTGGTCTCACACGCGGAATTCGAAACCGAGACTTTCGGTCTTGTACGCGAACTCCTAACCTTCGAACTATATAGCCATCCGGTGCTTTCAGGCTTTCAATGGTGGTTTAAAACTGATCGGTCTACTAGTTCCAGTAAAAAATTACTTTGTCCAAGGGGTAAGTAAAATTAACAGTTTCCGAATAACCTTGTCAACAATATTTTTTTGAAACTATTCATGCAATCAATTTTTATTTACCAAGTCTAAGTTCTTCAATTGAATTTTATTGTTTCAATATTCAGATGACGCGGATGGATTTGAAGTTATCAGTCTGCCAATTTTAGGCAAACATAATACTTTGACATTTACAAGATTCATTTTCATAGTCTCAGTTATAATTAATGAGCATAAGTGCAAGTTCACCTATTGTAATCTCTTAGAAGCAATTAAATAGTTATATTGGTTTAGACAAAATAATATTGATAACCAACTGTTTATTTCTAATTGAATCATAAAGTCATTTCGTATTTTCAAAACTTTCAGACCATTATGATATTTACTTTAGTTTTTTAAATTTCAATTATGATTAACTCCCCCCTCCAGTCACTTGATGAAAGTTATTTCTGTGGTGTTTTCTTACACGTTTGTTAAATCAAAGATCACAGTATACAACTTTTCACGCTTGACAATAAAACTTTGACAATGATTTATTATCATTGTGCTTCAGAGCTGTATCTTATGAATAAATGACAAATTATATGTGATGGCTTATTCTATTTCACCGTAATTATTGAACTAAATTGCCATGATTGGTTTAATCTTTTCGTATAACAATTCATGCATATTCAAGTAAAGCCTAATAACGATCTAATTGACAAAACAATACTGTTCGCTTACATGTGTTATTCCCAGTGACAAATTGCAAGGACTCACTATTCAATGATGAATAAATTGAAAAAAATGTATATAGCATAAGTACTTTACCTTTTTTATGGATTTTTAAATCAATATTTCAAAGGCAATTTAATAAAATGATCATTATGTCATCAACATTTCTTTTATGTTATCAGGTATTCGATGTGAACGTTGTGCGGAGAATTTTTATGGTGATCCAGTGAAAGGTATTCCATGTAAACCATGTGACTGTTCAAATAATGTGGATCCAAGAGAATTTGGAAATTGTGATGGGTAAGTTGTATGTGTAGCTAGCTAAAGCATAATATGAGTAAATCATGTGTTTAAATTTTGTTTAAAATGACACTATCTGTAACTAAGATATGAAAACTGAACAACCAACAGTAGAGTAGAAAAATAAAGAAGGATTTGTCCTGTATTACCGTATTGCTGGAAAACATGTTGTTCTGAAGGTACAAACATAAATATTAGTGAAACATGACAAATATCATGTTATCGATTGATTTTCAAACTATTATACTGAGCATGTTATGCAATTTTATATACTGAAGTATACGAGTAATGTGTTATGAATGTTAAACTAAAAACTACTCTTAATTGCTGAAGTATACTTAGGAAATGAAGCAATGAGTAACCAGAAGGAATTTCTGCCATCTATCCACAAAGTCATTAAGTTGTAAGTTGTGTCAAATTGAAGCGCATTAGGTTTTTAGGTGTCTCCAAACTGGTTGATGTATGTTATATTGTTTAAATGGTACACAAACATTCATTTTGCGATATCACTAAACTGTTAAATTGTACACTAATCTATGTTATTAACTTTAAATCACCCATTCATTTTTTATGTCGGAAAAGTCTCTTCTTATTAATTCACTACACTTTATTGTTCAGAATAATATTCAATGATTAAATATCATTTATTTGTATTGACAACTACCATAACTAGGCAATCAATGATACTTAGGAAGCTCTTGAAAAGCGTTTCATTTCAGTATAGAAATAATCGTAAGTGCATATCTACGGCCCAATCACGGATTAAAACTGAACGTTTTAGATCTGGTAGTGAATGCTTAACCTTCAAACAATGAGTTGTTATTCAATGGTTCATAATTCAAACTTCTCGAACATTGATGATGATAATCTGGCTATACTCCACCACGTCATAACGGCGAGACTTTAATTTATAGAAGACTTTTGAACAAATCTTAAGTGACTTTGAGAAATATTGACTAGTCAGAATAAAAATACATTCAACAAAACCTAAGAATTAAAGTGGATACACTTCTTTTACGTGGTTCAAAAATTTATCAAGGTTAGAAAGGAGTTCAGAGGTTCCAAAACCATAATGCAAACGGTAGAAGAAATCATCCATATAGCTACATAATAGTCGGACTCTGGGACCATGATAAGGTCGCAGAAACTCTTTCAGACTCGATCGCCATAGCTTAGATATTGCTTGTGTGCACTCCGGTTGCCGGGTCCGCAAAACGCCGCTTGTGGACAACGATATGATGCATATAATTAAGTCTATGTAGGAATCTGTAATACCTGGCTATAGCCAGTGTTATTGGTGCATAAAAAGACAGTATCATCACGGTAGTCTGCACAAGTCATGTGTTCACCACAATTACAAGTAAAGAAACTTTTTAGTAGTCCCATTTATTGTAATCGCTCAATTTTCTCGTTTTTTCTACAATTCGCCTGTGAGCATCCGCTACTGAAATTGGCACTGTGACCTTTAAATCCCTCAAACGCTCTTGAATGGCTCATTCATAAATTATAGACTGGCCTTCAACTTTAGAGTAAAGTAAAAAGAATTGAGTCTCATTTAGTCTGTTATCTATTAAAATGCCTCGTATTGTCTCATAGTGTATACAAGTAACAAGTGTTCATGTGAACTTTTGAGTAAAGAGCATTTTTTCCATTTAATAAGTTTCTTTTACTAAATTAATAAATATTATCTGTTGCAGAAAAACTGGTGAATGTTTAAAATGTCTATTCGGTACAAGTGGTAAACATTGTGAACAATGTTTACCAGGTTATCGTCGTAATTTAAAACCAATTAATATAAGTGATTTAAGTGATTTAATTCCAGCACGTGGTTGTAGTCCATGTGAATGTAATCCAATTGGAACATTAGCTAATTATGGATCACAAGGAATTGGTGTTTGTAATCCAGAAACTGGTCAATGTCCATGTAAACCAGGTGTTGGTGGAGTGAATTGTGATAAATGTTTTGATGGATTTTATGGTTTTCATACTGGACAGGTAAGTCATTTTGTTTCATTGAAATAAATAGATGATGGTATGCTATTATTATTATTATCATTACTATTATTATTGACACTATTATTATTATTATTTAGCTTTATCTTTATGTAATAACTGACAAAAAATTACATGACAGTCTACAGTACTGAATGACAACGGTTGAAAATCAGTAAGCCATTTTAAAGCACCATGTGACTTCTTAACGGTACCTATCCACTACTTCACTGATGATCTACTCCATGATTTTTATAACTCATGAAATTCAACAATCTGCGTAAACCACCTTTACCAATAATAATAATAATCATATGTTCACTGTGAACTTATCTCCACAGGTGATTCGTGAATGTTTTGTAAGAAGCTGCACTCAGTCGACTTCAACTATGCTGAATATAAGGCAGTTATTCAATAACGACATTATGCGATGATTGTACAATATCACAGACTGATTAAACATAGACATGTACACTATTGAATGATAGTTTATTGATCTTCATAAACTCCCTACAGTAATGATAAAATAGCATACTAATGAAGTCAAAAATTAATTAATCTTCTTCAAACTTACTACCTCTGATAAAACACAAATAAGAAATTTGACAAACTGAAATGAATTCATATTTAATTACAAAACTTTCATTAACCATAAACAATCTAAATTTACCAAGACTAATCTGAAAGTTTTATGTCATTTAAAACATCCATCAATTTGAACTAATACGTTTAGTATTTTATTGTGAACCGCGGGGTGGCTAATCTAAGTTCTACCGACTGACCAACTTTAGATATCCCAGTACGACCCCAAAACTGTTCTTCAATCTTCACTATATCAGAACACGAACTGTAAATGAAAATTGTTTATGGGGTCAGGAGAAGAATAAGAATAGGAATAGGAATGATACTTTACAGACAAATGCATATTTATACAGTTAGGACTACCGTGAATATTGACCAACAGGAAAATGACAGGTGAAATAAATATTGACCAATAGGAAAATGAGATCGTTTCACGTTCAAGGATAGCATTATACTTAACAGGATTTTTCTGAATATCCCAACAGTATCAAAATTTTTGTATTGGTTATTTGAAACTTCTAATCGATGTTTACAACTGCAATTGATCAGTCTTTTATTGGCATATATGCATTCTATGCGCATTGCCTCGATATTGCGTTTTTATCACAAGCATTATAAGCAAAGATACTATGTAGGTACATTCAGCTGACGAGTACTAAATAGGACGAAACATACGTCCTAGATTCCACTGCTTAGTACCATCCAAATTTTTTTATTATATTTTTGTTATGCTCCTTCTCTTATTGTGTTCTTCTGTTTTGTCCTAAATTCCACGTCTCAGTTTCATCAATTAAAGTTTATCAAAACTTGAAAATTAAATGTGAATTTATTTTATTTTTACAAATGATATTACTATTGTTTTAAAATTTATCATATCCGTTATTCTACTACTTATAATTGGAAATGGAAATCACTATTATTTCCATGGTGTGAAGTAAGAATAAATGACTGGTGAAAATGAAGATTTATTGACTCCTGAAAAGTCATTTTATAATTTAATTAGATAAACTCATTCTTAAACTGATTTTATACAAGATCACAAACAAGATTAGTGAATAAACAACATTTGAGTGAAAAGATATCCAGGGTAACGGTAAAACAAATACGAAGTTCACACAGTATAATACAAACAATATTATTTTCATAGTTGAATTCACGACTTGATTTAAGTTAGACCACAACTGATACCTGGAAACACTAGATGACCGTTTCGTTCTCGTATGGGACTCCTCAGCAGTACATACACACATAATCTCTCATGCGGAACTCGAACACAGGACCCATGGTATCTCACTCAAACTTTTAACTTCTATACCTATATATATTTGCTAAACCTTTTGGATAGGATAAATAATCTTCATAATTGTCAAATATTTGTATTTCCCTATAAGTGAAAAAACAAAATGAAATTGCTTTTACTGATTTTTCACTATCTAATGCAAGTAGCTTTACCAAACATTTCAGCTTATATATATAGAAAGTCGTTCAAAGTTATTCTGTATGAAGTAGTTTAGCGTTTTAGTCTTAATGAATTGATAATAATAACATGTGTGTTAGTTTGTTTGAACTAGGTCAACTTTTATTTTAACATCTAGTTCCTATTCAAATAATCCAAATTTCATGTTACATGAAGTATTTTTTTTGAATGATTTCACTATTGTAAAATTTAATCTTATGGTCGAAATGTTTTCAAGTTTATCGAGCTCTATCGGATTTTATGCTGGCCAAACACAAGATCTAATATGTTCATTTTATCTGACATTGATTTGTTGTGATGCTTGTCGAGTTACCATATATAAGCTAAGATTTCTGTAAACTCTAGTTCATTATTAATTTGATAAAGCTATTTGTATTAAATAGCGAAATACCAGCAAAAACAATTTTGTTTTGCTTTCTACTCATTAAAAAAATACAAAGGTCATAATATCTTATGGTGATCATGGATCGAGCCTAGTTATGCAAACCTTAGTCCACTGGATGGGGATTTCGTCCTGCAATGGCACTCCTCAGCAGCGCTCACATAATACCCCGGCACCGGGAATCCGAACTATGGCTACAGGTTTTGAGCCTGAACCCCTAACCTCTAGATCACAAAGCCAAGACTTTATGGAGTTTAATTCTAGCTTTATTTTAATTTGCAATATTGTGCTATCGTTTTCTATTGTCTTTGATTGTGGGGATCTGGTTGCATAAAGCTTAGTAGTCCCATAATTGGATGGTACGGCCTTCTATTGCTTCCAAATTTTCAACGGTTGTGTAAATTAGATCGGTTTGTGATCTTAATAAAGTTCAATAATCTACACAATCACATACTGATAATCTCATAATATTGTTGATGTAATTTCTTTGCATCATTTAAAAGGTTAATATAATCAAACTTTATATCGGAGTGCAGTACTTTTTTTAATAAAAAGCATGTTTATTTGTCAGTAAAATCTAGCACGACATAGCAATACGAGTAACTGGGGTATGAACCTTAGTATAATATTCTGAACCACAATTTCAATGATTACAAGTACATTCTTCCCTAAGTGATTATTCAAACCAAGCAATCAGTTATAATCTGCATAAGAATTATTTTTCTCAGTTAAACAGCGAGATAACTGCTTTATATTGCAGTGGATTGTCTTCGAGATAAAACATATGATCAGTGAATCACTTGACTTGATAACTCCTAACTTCGTATACATTTCAGAAGACAATATGAAGCACTGACTACAGTTTATTATTGAACAGAGCAGATCACAAAGTCAAGTGTAAGAAGAGAATACAACAATACGAGTGTGAACAAATGAATGAATGTACAGAATTTATGAAGCACATATACATAAGCAAGCGAATGAAACATCAGGCGATTTAATTAACTGACGTTTAACCTAACAAGAGGAATATATTTGTGTAGGCTGTTGCCAGAGATCAACCATACATGATCATAGAAGAATGGGGATAATATCATAACGATATAAACAAACTGTTACCGATGCAAATGACACTCTGTTGAATAGGTTCATTAAAAAGCTTAGTAGATTTAAACGTATACGAACTCAGCTAATGGTAAGGGTGCTTTAATATATTAATGAATAATAACAAAATACACTAAACAGTATAAAAACTAAGAGAATGATCCATAAAATGATAAAACGTGAAATTATATTTAATTTATAAAAACGTAGAACTGAAAACTTATTGCCTGTCATCGTTCAGCTTATGGAAATAGTCTTGGAGAAATTATCTTTATTTAACATTTAAGTCGCCTAAAATTGATATGCCAAAGTTCAAGATATGGTTTATATTCCAAAGACATTGAGACGAAATGACAAATCTTCTCACTTACACCTGTTTCTTCCTCGTGTAGGAGCACAGGCCGCCTACCAGCATTCTCTAACCAACTATGTCCTGGACAATCCATTTCAGCTGTTTCTAATTATTATCCACCCTATTGATGTCTGCTCACAATTCCAAACCAAGTTTGTTCTTTCGCCTTCCTCGACAATGCCATTTTTATGTATCTACATAATATGATTTTCACTCGTTCAGTATTCCAATATGTTTATATTTGTATCTCATTGGTTCTTAAAATTTTCTTAAGGGATGTCAACCATGTGACTGTAATTCGGTGGGTGCAGTCCAAGAATCCTGTGATGATCGAACCGGTCAATGTGAATGTCGTTCAAATGTTATCGGACGTCAATGTGATCAATGTCGACCTGCATATTTTAATATGACTACTTCAGTAGGTTGTCAATCATGTAATTGTCATATTTATGGTGCTGAAAGTAGTCAATGTGATAAAAATGGTCAATGCATTTGTAAACCTTTTGCTGTTGGAGTGAACTGTGAACAATGCCAAGTGAGATTTATTTGATGAACTATTTTAGATTAACTTCAATTTTGTGTACACCTTTAAGGAATTGCATGATTTGTTATTTAATTAGATTTAAAGATGATTTTGACTTGCTTGAAGTTTGATAGCGAATATCAACCTTTGTAATTCATTGATCATTGAATAGTAATGAATGTTATGTTTGTTCAAATAACTTAACACCGCGTACACTAAGTTGAGATATCAAGCTAAGTAGTAAGCTCAGTGGTAATGTTTCGTACTGTTAAACTAGGTGACATAGATTTAGATCTCATTCCTTAAATCTCAAGTGTCAACTTAGTACGTATAAATGCATACTAATTGCTTATTGTGATCAGTTAGGATACGAAAATCACGGATTGTAGATTAGGCAATGTTTCCCTATTTGACTTAGATGGTTTAATTTTCAGACATGTCGTTCTTTGGCTGAACAACATTGTCATCTTTTTCAAACAGGAGTTTCACTATTATTATCCAATAGGAGCTTATTCGTCGGTTCTGATGGGTATTCGTGTACTTAATCTTCATAACAGATTAAATAAACCCCTTGAAGAATAATTGTGAAAGGCACAATTCCATTTGAATCAGACCCTGTTAATGTTGTACATCAAGACAGTAAGATGTATGTAATTAAATCATTCATTTCAGGTATTTCAACATTCCCTAAATTAGCCAACTTAGATACAGATCATTGTTTAGTATACCTTTTTAAATCTGTCCACTTGTAGTTATCTCGCTATATTTTACAGTTTTATTACTTAATACCAGTAATTAAAGATCCATTTATAGTGTAAACTCTTAGTCAGAAACAGTTTGTGACATTTCTAATATTGTTTTTCCATAACATCAGCCTTAGAATCCCTACCTTAACACTTTTCTAGTGATTTCTTACTTTCAAAACTATTAAACACATTTATACTACATAAATTCTTTCATTTTCACAGGAAAATCATTATAATTTACAAGCTGGTTGTTTACCATGTCCAGCTTGTTATAATTTAGTTCAAGCTAGAGTTGCAAAATTATGGGGAATGTTAGAATCAGTATTTGGACCAATTAAACAAGAATCATCAACAACATCATTAATAACAAGAGAATCAATTGAAACATTTGATGATAAAGAATTATTTGATGAAATTAAAAGATTAAATGATACAATTATAAAATTATATCAAGATATTTTAAATTATGAAGGTATGATAAACAATTTAGTTTGAATATTGTAAAAAATTACATATTCATTATATATTGATGTTAATTTAATCTTTCCCTTTCTAAGAATACTACAATCTATCTCAAGCTTAATTCATCAATCATTAGAATAGATTAATTGATGTAGACCATCTTTAGAAGTTGTAATAAGTCTTATAATAAGTTCATTAAATGGTTTATATGTCATTATTTTTCATTGATTTATATATATATATATATATATATATATACTACTATTTTACAGATAATTGAGTAGATTATCTTACTTCCATTTCATTGAAATATTCTCAACACAATTACACAATGGTTAAGATCATGAGTCAGTTGAAGTTAGACCATCATGGAAAGCCTGGAAGCACTGGACAGTCGTTTTGTTCTATTGTGGGACCCTTCAGCAGTGTGCATCCACGACCTCGCCACCTGCAAGATTCGAACATAGGACCTACTGGTTTCACGTGTGAGCACTTAACCACTAGACCACTAAGACGGCATCCGACGGTGATTATGTCTAAATTCGACTAATCCACGAAATTGAGAGACACATCCACCATTGTCTTCAGTGAGTTACTATCTCACAACAGACCTGGTTGAACTTCACTGGTCATTACTTCCCACTAGAACTCCAGGATATACCTCGTGAAGCCAGTCATTAGTGAGCATATATTGATTAATATCAGATGGGTTTCGTGGAGATTGTAGTAATTTCAATCTCGCAGTGGGCGAGGTCGTGGATACGCACTACTGACGAAACGGCCGTCCCGTGCTTCCAGGTTTTCCATGGTGGTCTAGCTTCAACTGACTCATGATCTTAGCTATTGAAATTACCATAATATCTACAAAATCCATCTGATAACAATTACACAATCTCAACAATTTGAATTTTATTTCACATTACATGTAACTAATCCCAATGTCAAGGCTAAGTTACTTATTAGAACCGGTAAACCTATTGATGGAGCTATATAATCCTTTAGAATCAGTTGATCTGGTATGAGTTACGCAGCGATGAACAATCCAATCCAAAGTAACACAGAAGTGGATTGAAATCAAACCAATAGCTAGTTGAAACAGAATATGTAGTCAACCATTAATCATTAGTCTGATTCGCTCTGTAATATTCAAATTGCCCGATTAAAGTTCACGAGACAAGAAATTGTTGAAAGTCTCAAGTCAAATAGTTCAAAATTATACACAGTGGCACAAATGAATGGATTATTAATAAACCTCTAAATTTTGATAGTATAATTTCACACATTTTATTCCTTGATTTCAAACTATATCTCCTATACAAAACTCCTTAAAATCATCGGTATCATTACTTTGAATATTATCTTTTTATTCCCTCTGTCATTAGGTTGATCTATAGCGTTATAATTTGAAGCAATAACTTGTTTATTTATTATTGTATATTGTTTATGACTGATTGGTGATCACTTTTCATTTCTCAATATTCTATTTTTACGATCTAAGATTAGATATTGAGTATATGGTACAGTGTAATATCCTATCGATTTTTGTAACTACAATATAAATTTTATCTCCGATACTTCAGCGAAATATAACAGTCAAATTTGTTTCTTTTACTATTTTACAATGTATCGAAAAAGGTTTTGTGGATATTATAGTAATTTTTAATGGTTGAGATTAAGAGTCACTTGAAGCTGGACCACCAATGGAGTTCAATCAGGTCTGTTGTGAGATAGTAATTCACTGATGACAATGGTGGATGTGTCTTTCAGATTCGTGGATTAGTTGAAGTTAGACATTAACACCGTTGTATGCTGGTCGGCTCAATGGTCTAATGGTTAAGCGCTCGTGTGCGAGGCTGATGCGTCCCGCAAAGTGGGATCGTGGATACCCACTGCTGAGGAGTCCCACAACAGGACGAAACGGCCGTCCAGTGCTTCTAGGGTTTCCATAGTGTTCTAACTCCAATTGGCTCATGATATCGACCATTTAAAATTGTCTTAGAATGATCGAGTATCAGAATATAACCATAAAATAATCATGCTTAACATCACATAATGTTCTTAGCTAGGCCAGCAGTGAAAACCGAGAACCATTACACATCTGTTTCGTTTAAGTATGATCTATCTTAGTAGTCAGCAACCACAACCCAAACGACAAACGAACAAACCCAGTACACGTGTGAGCGCTCAAACTCTAGACTAGTGAGCTGGAATCTATTAGTGCATATGTTTGAATTCGACAAGTTCACGGTATTAAGCGACAACTTACCACTAACTGCGGTATATAACTATCTCACACTCAACATAGTTGAATTCGACAGGTTACAGCGTTTTACCAGAATGATCGATTAAAGCTGACATATAAATTTACAAACTTAGTTAATAAAATACATTTTTACCAGATATACAAATAAGTTACTAAATTAAACATAAAATAATTCGATATAACGATACTCATACATGGACTATGATTACAAATACTTCAGTAAATACAGTTATATAAAAAAAACTATTTCCATTTCATTTGACTAGATAATAATAACTCAACTTCAAATGAATAACCTGACAATTACCAGCAATTTACATCGAAAAAAGAAAACCAATTTCACTTGTAAGAATGCACATAAATTCACATAATTGGGTTCAGTCCCTGGTGAGGATATGATTGTACAATGCTAGGAGGTTTCTGTTTGGACGAAACACATGTCTAGTAATTCCTTATTTCCGTTGGTTGCCTAACCAACGTTTGCTTGTGATGTAGAAATATAAATCCGAAAATCTTCACGATACTCTATAATTCTTATCACTTGAAGAATAACTGAAAAAATGTTCCTTTCTAGTCACTAAATTGATAGATTCCTACTAATGATACTAGATTATATGAAGATTACATAACGAATCAAATGAAATTAGATATTGTAGACCATTGCATTTTAATTTGTAAACTGGACTTTCGCGTGTGAGACCAAAGGTCCTTAGTTCAAGTCATGAGTGTGTGATAGTGGATATACACTGCTGAAGATTCTTATACTTGGACCAAATGGCCGTCTAGTGCTTCCAGGTTTTCAATCGTTGTCTAGCTTACATTGAATTGTGAATTTAGCTGTTAAAATTACTACAATCTTGACAAATCCCCTTACTGATAAAAAATATATTTCTTTGAGACTCCAGATAATTCATGATATCTAAACATAAATCCCTTCTAATTTTATTTAATTTAGACAAATTTTCACATTACTATTCGTTTGATAAATGGATGATAATAACTATATTTGAATAACTCAATATAAGCATATGCCCATAAATTACTTATTCATATAAAGTAAAGTTTCACTTGATTATTCAAAGTTTCGACAATAAAATGGTAGAACAATCTTCTATAGATAACATAAAATATTTCCTCATTTCAGACACCAGTTGCAAACAATCGACTTAATTTTTTATTTCGGTTCTTCTTGATCAATTGATATTTAACGAATTCCTTCAAATCAGCCAAACATAAAAACGTCAGTAATGGTTTGAATTCTTCCTCTTTTGATATTTAGCACTGAATTTCGATCAATCTTTATTGATATAAAAGTCATGTATGTCTGACAAATTTGATGGTTTTATGAATTCATTAGCTCATCGGATAATGCATTTTGCTTAAGAGTTAAACTGGGATTTAGGTAGATCCATTTGATCAGTCTTAAATAGGATGAAACTCATATGCTGGATTCCACTTATAGATATGATCCATGAATTCCAAAGAAATTTACAATTACTGAAATACAGGAAAAAATTCGGCATTTATGATACCCCCCTATATATCCTCTGTTGACTAATATATTAGCTTATTTTAATTGTTAATTACATCAAACCCTCATAATAAAGACGTTAGTATTGAAAACAGTTCTTTAACACATTAGTTATTGAATCGTGACAAGAATATTTCTATGATATTTTGTGGCTACTTATAAGTAGCCTAACTGCAAATAATGAAAAGTGCAAGGTCCACATTTTATTTAATGCTTCACACAAGTATGGTCCTACAGGACATTTGTGTAAAATCTAGTACATGACAGAATGACAAGATGATGGACAATAGGTCATGTCCAAAAAAACACATTTCAAAAACAAGTAAATGAATATTGTTGTTTACAAAAATTAGCATTAGACAGATGTATCACATTAATAAGCATGTATGCAAATACAGGCTCACATACCCATAAATATGCATACTTATTTAAACAAGACTAAAATAATCATATATATACCAGTTGTTGTCTTTTTATTCATCATACTGTTTTCGTATCTGTATATTTGGCAACCAGAATAAATCGCTTATTCATCTAGTCTAGTATGAATATCTTCTTTTTCTTGTTAATATATGTTGGTCTAGCTTCAACTGACTCATGATTTCAATCTGTGTAATATATATTTGTTTCCTTTTTTGAATTTAAACAAAATGTCAGTGAAAAAACAGAGATAAATTAAGTCTAAAATCTTGGTTTATAAGTTACGTAGAGATAAAGGAATAGATTAAACATGATATATTGACGAGGTGTAAAGTAGTAGTAGTACTACTAATAGTAATAATAACATATTAACCTTTAAGTGATTTATGAATACATCACGTTTTATATGATTTACATACAGTTAGATTAACTGTCAGATTTGTATAGATTGAACTGAACTATATTTAATAATAATCATTGAGTAACTTACTGCATCAACTTGCTTTAACTAGACGATTTAATTAAGTATCTGTAATCCTTTACAAGATGTGATTACATGTCATACATGATTGGAAAAGTCATTCCTAATTGTTATCCGCATTCCGATTCATTAGGTTATTACCCGCCATATCAAATTAAGAAAGCTAATTAGCAAAGTAACTCTATTTTTGACAGAGTTTTGTTCTTTGAGCTGGATGGTTTGATCATGGAGCTTTCATTGTCCTTCTGAACGACAACATCAGCACAAACTTCAGGTCGAAGCTTCGCGATCAAACCTTCCAACTCAGAGAACAAAAATCTATCAAAATCATACACCTGAGCTATAAATCTTTACTACAGTAACTCTGTTTTTGGCATTTCGATTCCCATTGAAAACGTCTAATTGAAAAGTTTGGCACAATTTCTGATCTGTCAGTGATTTTGATTGAAGTTGACCCACTGAAGCTTTTACTATAAACAAAGATTTACATAACACAATAAGAATACAGTAATAATTCTGACTAACAATCAAATAACTTTAATCTGTAACAAATTGATGATTAAGTTGAATTTGGTTAATACTAAAAACCAAACGAATAAGACTACTTGTAGTGTATGCTACTGATGTCGAAAGATATAAGTAGTATGTATCATGCCTGGTAGCCAAAGGTTGCGAAGATCGAAGAAAAGAGAACGAGAACAAAAAATGTATGCTCTGGAAACAAAAGGAAAATAAAGGCTGAGACGATTGATCGACGTTTTGCAAATGAAGTATTTACTGTATGGTACTCAGATTTTCTGTAATTTTATATCCAAAAATTGAATTGGTTGTCCCCACCTGCGTTATCCTTCACTACACTTCTAGCACGTTTTTTATATACTACAGCGATATCTCTGAAAGTAATTTCCAACACAAACTGATATATATATGTATATATGTTTACTACAAACCTAGGCTTTTATTTCATTCAGTTCAATAATAACTCAACATTTGACACATTGCATATTATCAGAAGGGATGTTGTAGAGATTTTAGAAATTTCACTGATTGAAATCATCAGTCAATTGAAGTTAGACCACAATGGAAAACCTGGAAGCATTGGACGGATGTTTCGTCCTAGTATGAGTCTCCTAAGCAGTGCGCATCCACGATCCCGCCCCCCACCCTCGGCGAGATTCGAACCCAGGATCTATCAGTCTCGCACCAGGCTCTTGTCCAACTATTAAGTTATTTCATAAAGTAATTATTTTTATTTATTTATCTTTCTGGCTTCTTCTTCTTTTCTAGTTTGTCTTTATTAATTATTTTCGATATAAATCCGTTAACTTTTAAAAAACTAATTTGTTTATAGAATAAGTATCACTTCTGTTTTTTTCAAATTTGGCATAAGTTTTTTTATTGCATAGTGAAAGAGAAAAACAACCTGAAATTTAAAAAAAATGGACCATAGATAAAAAAAAACACAAAAAAAAAGATTTTCACACCAATTTTTGGCTTTTAGTAATTGTTGATTGAATTTAATTTTCCCTCTTAATTTTTTTGAAAAAAAAAGAATCTACTTTTTCTCCCCTTCACCCTCTCTCTCTCTCTTGAATTAGTTACCACCAATGTTATTGATTTATTTACTTTTTTTTTAAACAGCTGATAATTCAATAATTGATCAAAAACAATTTAAAAACACATTAGACAATATTGCCAATCAAATTGATATGATTGATAATGAATTAAAACAATTGACCAATAAACCAGTAAGTGATTTATTTATTTATTTATTTATTTATTAGAAATAAATAATTGAATTATTGTTTCTTCTTTGATTTAGTTTTATTCTTTAGGTTAATTTTGTAGTGAATATGATTGTTAGTGAATAAAATAAACTTTGTAATTTTTCAGTGTTTTTTTTATATTTTTAATTCGGTTTTCATGATCTGGATTAACTTCTGTTTGTAGTGTTTTAATGTTCATACTAACACCTTTCTAGTCTGATTGAAATCTTGAATACTTACTTACGCCTGTTAATTCTCGTGGAGAAGTATAGGCCGCTTACCAGCATTCTCCATTCAACCCTGTCTTGAACAATCCTTTCCAGTTCTTTCCAGTTGTTATTCATCCTTTTCATATTTGCTTCTATTTTCTGACGTAATATGTTCTTTGACCTTCCTTTTTTCTATTTTCCTTCAGGCTTACAAGTTAGCGCTTGGCCTGTGATGCAGTTTGGTGATTTGAGTGATGTATGTCCTATCCACAACTAACGTCTTTTCTTAATTTTATCTTCAGCTGGATGTTGGCTTGTCCTATGCCATAGAAGTCTGTTGCTCATAATATCCGGTCAATGAATTTTGAATATCTTGCGTACACAACTATTTATAAATACTTGCACCTTGTTCATGATGGTTGTAGTAGTTCTCTACATTTCAGCTCCGTAAAGTAGGACCGCCTTGACGTTCGCCTGTAGCTGTTCTTGAGTTACTGATGGTCCCAAGCCCGGGTAAAGGAGAAGGGTTGGGCATGTGGTTAGCAACCCCATCCCGTAGAAAACAAAATCTTGTTAAAAAATACTCCAACCGGATTAAACCCTGAATACTAACAATGAAAATATAGTAATCTTTTTATGACCATTGATAACTTAGTGACTAACTTGACTGAGCTCAAGTGACCACTTGTTGGTCATTTTTAGTGGAGGATATGTAGTTCGAGTCCAGCTATCGACATTGAAACAGTGAAGTAAATATATCCAGCCAAAAAGTTCTAAATGAATCTCGTGAATTCAAATGCTAACCAAATATAAAAAATCCATACCTTAACGTTATATCAAAGCACTTATTTCACGATCAAACAGAGACTGATCATTCACAGTCCTGGATATCAACAATAGGAAATTAAAAACCGTTCCTAAAATAAATTTGTGACTGAAAATAGATAAGATGATATATTTTATTTGGTTGATTTCAATGAACTCGGTATTGTGATAGCTAATATTTGATAATGAACAGTTGAAAAGAATACAAAACTTACGAAAACAATACAAATAACAGATTAATAATGATTTCTAGAAAGAGAGTAAGATCAATTTCGATTTTCTTATTTTGCTCTTCTCAATTACCACGAGACAAAACAGAACTTACCAGAGTAACGGAATTCCTAATACACATGTAGTGGCTGGTCACATGTCGAGTTTACATGGGTTATTCTAGTTTCTGGACAGACCAATCCATTCATTCTTCTTGAACATTTTGACCTTGTTAATTATTCGCTTCGCCTCGATTTGGTTTGGCTGAAAATAGTGAGTAACCTTTAATTAAAGTCAGTTGGCTCACATGCTTTTTCCACCGCACGTCATTTCACTTCGCCCTCTCTTCTACGTTTCGTTCATCTGGTTGTCTGTCCAGGTCAATGAGTGTACGAAATAAATGTATTCAAACCTCATTTTCGTATATGAGTTATTTAATTTATTGCGAACTAACTCAACAAAAATATACAAGAATTGACATTATGTATATTTTGATAGCAGTCACTGATCGATTTAAATGCAGTCAGATATTAACAGTTATTATTGAATGAAACATACTTTCAACTGATCTTGTAAAAATGTACAAGATTAATTATCTTCTACTTGTTTTTCATTCAGATAGTCAGATTCGATGGTTTTGAACGTACTGAACTTGAGATGATCTTAAGGAAATGTATCTACAGTTAGTATTCCATTGTCATGTCTTTCAGATGTGATTACATTCTATTGATCAAACTATCGGTAGCTGGTAGAAGTATTGATTGAAATCATGAATGAAATATTTACATATCATATATTTTGAATTGAAGTGTTTCGATACTGAACTCAATTATCCCATTACAGATTCATGTACTCAACTTTAAGCTGCATTACTTAGATTAGAACATTTTACAGCTCATCAAAGTTGAGTTGGTTTAGTGATGTTCAAATTCTACAACTTTTTGACTGGAAGATGAATGATTTAAACATTAATCTACCGTTTGGAATTAACTGATAGATTTTGTCCATAAATAGAAACAGATTCTTTGTTGAGTGTTGTACATCAACTAGTTTATTAAGACGTTTTTCGACCGATCATGGGTTATACGAATCGATTAATTGTGTTAAATAATTTGTTTACTTTTATACATCTATTACAATAGATCAAATCGATAGAAAAATTCTGATATACTTTGGTTAGAGTTAGTTGAAACATTACCCTGATTCTAATTATTTAACACCTGTTAGAGAGGTATACATTTAATTGTGAGGAAACGGGTATTTTTCTGGGGGATTTTATCATTGTTCACTCAGTGTTACAGTCTGTAACAGTACTAGTAAATTACTTAGGACTGAGATGTATTTACAAGTAATTGATCACTAAGCAGTGATAAATGTTAAGCTTTGCTAATCTTTTTACAATACTGATCAAATTCTATCGACCAAGTTGTAATGTGATCGCTAGTCTAATTAACTTGATATCGCATATACAAACATCTCAATATGATGTACGCGATGTTGAGTTACTCAGATTAGTAACCATATTACAACTTGATCAATAAAATTCGATCACTACCGAATTCATGACATTTGTCACTGCTCAGAAATCAATCAACTGTATATATTAAGCCTATTTATATTATTCTAATCTTCAGTATGTAAATAAGTTCCAAGTATGGCTAGTTGGGTTATTAAAATCTATCATTAATTTGTATTTCAATAAACTGACTATATTACTCATATTTATGGATAACTTTGTATAATAAGGTCAACAATTATTCTAAAGTAAAGAAGGATAGTGGCTAGCTGTAGAATCCACGACGCAGGTTTCGTCTTATTTGGGACTTTTCAGCTGAATGTACCTGCATCCCAGAATTGATGTTCACACTGCGGCTCGAACCCAGTACCGTTCGACTCAAATGCCATTGTGTTATCCACTTAGCTAATGAGTCTTGATAGCCATCTGCTTGTGTAATGGGGTGAAGTTTAAATTCACTTGGTGATGTTTCAATTGTATCTTCCCATATGATGTACATATGCTAACAAGAGACTGATCAACTGCAGTCCTAAATAACAATGGCAAGATACAAGTAAAAAACAATATCAAGTGAATTTAAATTCACCTCATTGCACAAGCAAGTGGCTATCAGGACTCATTAGCTGAGTGGATAACTCGGTGGCTTTTGAAGCGAACGATATTGTGTTCAGATCCCAGAGTGAACATCAACTCCGAGATGCAAGTACATCCAGTTGACAAGTCCAAAAGAGGATGAAACCTGCGTCGTGGATTTCACTACTAACCACTATTCATCTTTGCTTAAAAGGCTTGTGACTTAAGGCCATATCGAGGCAATCCGCACAGTATGCACATATGCCGAGATGGGACTGATCAATTGCAGTCCTAAATCAGCAACAATGCAAGCATGTTCGGGATGCGATTCTCTCCCTCGAAATGCAAAATGTTGCTTCAGGATCGGGTTACATCGACACTCGAACTAGTGATAGGGAGTGAAGTAGTTGAGTGTGTCGACCGCTTCAATTATCTTGGAAGTCTCATCAGCCCTTGTGGTCTGGTGTGTGACGAAATCTAGCACGGATACAGAAAGCTCGACTAGCTTCTGCCAATTTGCGTCACTTATGGCGTAGGTGAGATATCCGTCTATCAACCAAAGGACGTGTTTACTGCGCAGCAGTTCGTCCCGTCCTACTTTATGGCAGTGAAACATGGCCGGTAAGAGTAGAGGATATTCGTAGGTTACTAGTATTCGATCATAGATGTCTTCGAAATATTGCTCGTATATCATGGGACCATCGAGTAAGTAACACAGTTGTTAGGAAACGAGTACTAGGTAAGGATGGAAAATCAATTGATGAAGTAGTGAAACTTCACCAGTTGAGATGGCTGGGACACGTGTTACGTATGCCTAACGACCGACTGCCTCGACGTGCGATGTTCAGTGGTATAGGAGTAGGTTGGAAGAAAGCTAGGGGCGGCCACACCAAAACATGGCACAAGTTCATGAAGTCACTGACAAGTGGACTGAGTAATGTTGGTAGATGTAAACTACCTGATTGGGGACCGCGAGATGATAGCAACCGATGGTTAGAGACCCTGAATGACATGGCTCAAAATCGTTTGCAATGGCGCAGATGCATCCACTCTTTGTGTTCTCCCAAATTCTAATCTTCTGAATTCTTCCTGTCTCTTTTTTCCTCTTTCCAAATTTATTTCACTGAATTATACTCTTTAAATAACATCTCCAAACCCTAATCTTCACGATCACTGCTTACACTCTTGCTACCTCTACCACTACGGGATTTGGATCGACAACTGCATCTCTGTGTTAAGGTGGTGTGGCAACTCGAACCGATGTACGTACGTACGAAGTTCTACGTTGTTACTGACTGACTGAGTCCTAAATAACAATGGGAAGACACAAGTAAAAGAACACCAATTGAATTTAAGGTCAACAATTGTTATGTCCCATTTTTTTCATGAATGTATCACAGTTTGTAAAGATCTAAGTAGATTCCTTTATTTTAATTTTATATAGAAAATATTCAGAATATATCTATCATATGAAGAAAAATAAAAATCGGGAACTTAATCGTTATTAGTGAATAGTTATTTGTAATTGCTTCATGTGAATTACTTGTGATATTTTTGGTAAATGTTCAGCTGATTTAAAATTATAAACTAATTTAACATTAATCGGAAGTGTACGAAATTTACCCGTTTTCTAATAGTAATCAGGGTTT